TCTTTTATGGAACATGACTTGAACATCGAACCCCAAAAAGGGATAGACTATAAAACAAATATGTAATTTTCTAGAATCCTTCTGAAATAGTGGTAAATTCCTCTTTTCCATTTCTTAAAGGTTCCTATACTTGTGACGTGTGGCTTTGACCAACTGAAATTGGGCTCAATGCACACGGACATGAACAAATAAAGTGACAACTATGAACTCTGGGGATATTAGTCGACCGAATTGGACCAATGGGGTGGGGCTTTAAGCAACAAACATTTTCGGCGCAGGGGAGACGCCACATCGCTTGGATTCGCCAAGCTGTATCATAAGTGGTGATTCAAATATTCCATCTCAGTGATGCAACTTTTTTCCCCCCCGATTTGAAGCAAAGTTCCAAGCTGCTGATGAGGCTAGTTCCGGCTTCGGAACCTAACCCTAGACCCTAAAGCCTTGGCTTTTAAAGCAAAGTAGAGCTTGAGAAACTTGACATGTTTATTTTTGGCTAAAAAAGAGGGGAAGACCAGTCCCATCTTGCTGCTTACCAGCTTGCGTCGACCCATGGGGTGTTTGGGGCCTTTCAAGGGAACATCCACAAACTTGTAACCCTCAAAAAATAGAAAGGTGAATTTTGCCATGGGAAATTGGTAGGATGCAGTTTTTCATTTTTTTTTGGGGGGGTTGCGATACTGTGATATCGACCGCATGTCAACTTCGGATCCCCCACCGAAAGAAAGTTTGCGACGGTCCTGCAAGCCTCTGGTAGTTGACAATCCGGCATTTGTAGACTCGATGATCTTCAATTTTTCACTGAAACAAATGTGGGGGTTTCCCATAATGGGTGTCCATCCAGCTATTGGGGTGCCCCATTTATGGAAACCCCCATATGAAGATGCGAGACTTGTCAAGACTGGTTTCAATGGCCATGACTCAGGAACCGATTTATTGGAGGTACCGACAGTATATAAGGCCTAAATTTCAGGTCTACATTTCAGGGAAGATCCCCACAATTTATATGGCCTGAGAAATGGTACGTTTACGTCGCTCCATTGATCCCAAAATTCCCATTGATGGTCGGTCTATTCGAGAAAATTCATCCCAAGTGACTGGATTGTTTGTGCAGAATCTACCCATTTTGGCAGGATCAAATCTCCGAAGAAGCAGTAGATTTATATAGATGATTTTCCATATGTTTCATATTTTCCATATGATTTTCCATTCCAAACACCTTATAATTCATCTATTTCCATGATATATCCCCATGATTTATAGATGATTTTCTCAGTTTTTTTTAAAATCAACGGATAGCGCTGTAGAACCCCCGGCCGCCCGGCCAAGCAACGTTCGCCAGGCACTTGATCAAGCATGTGACTCTGCCGGTGACGTTTTTTGGCCAAAAAACAATTCCGTGTTGCCTGGGAAGACCGAAAGGATCTGGATGGACCTCATAGATAGATGAGGTTAGATGAAATTAGATTAGGTTAGATTAGATTAGATAGATTAATAGAAAGACTTATATATAATTATATATTATATATACACACTGTGTATATATAATTATACATAATATTGTTGGGGCAACCCAATAAGAAAGCTACCATGACTGGGGTAAACATACCACCAAATGCTGAGTGTGGGCATGGTTTGTGATTGGGCTTACCACACATATAAATGGTGATGCAATGGCATAGTTCAATGGATTGGCTGGAAAATATGCAGGAAACCAACGATTTTCCCATGAAATATGGGGGTTTCCTGTACTTTTCCCCTTAAACCAATCCATTGAATAGTCATATAGGATAATCACATGGAACTGGTTGGTGGTTTGGAACATTTGGATGATTTTTCCATATATTGGGAATAATCATCCCAACTGACTAATATTTTTCAGAGGGGTTGACATAGGCCAACCAGTGGATAAACTATAACGGCAACAAAAAGTCTGGCTGCAATGATTGTTGGTAAGGGAAAGGATACCTGGATACTTCAAGAGGCCTAATTTCCGGATAGCTATTTGTTTATCCAGAAATGATGAAAAGAACAGATGATGAAAAGAACATCATCATGGATAGAAAACATGTGTTTGCTAACAGGAAACTGCCCAGTGTTTTCATCTGATATGCCCAGTGAACTGATGCAATAGATGTTAACAGGATACACTTGGCTAATATCAGATGTAATTCACGGATTTCACAGGTGTTTGCTCTGTGCATTGCCTCACCATCTTGGGAAGTGTTGCTGGGATATACAAAGCAACAGGAGCATTTATGGATAAAAATAGGAATGGATATGGAGGTTTCCTAACATGGGGGTACCCTAGTTATCATCCATGGATTTTCATGGATTTTCCGAAACCATCCAGCCACCGGGGTATCCCCCATCATCACCTGCTTTCCAACTGGTGAGTTCACCCGAAGTTCACCCGTCGTTCCATGGATAGATACCCGGCCTGGTAAACGTTTACAAAAAACGATGGACAGATCCACCATTTTTCATGTTTAAATCCACGATTTCTATGGCCAGTTTCAATAGCTTTCTATCCACGTTTACCAGAGGGTAGATCCACAGCCAGTCACATCATCTTTACGGGGATCCATTTGCCCCCAGTGATTCATCAACCAGGACTTTTTTTTTCTACGTCCTGTGGTATGGGAGATATCACCCATTTATATATATGGTACATGACAGATGATGAATTATATGGTGAATGATGGTGAATGATGGTGAATGATGGTGAATATATTTATGGTGAATTAAATAAAAATGGTAAATGATGGTGCTGAGTTTTGAACAAAAAAGCCATGTGCGAATCCACGTACATTTGCACAAATATAGCAGCAAAGCATAAAGAGAGAAATCCGGTCATCGGCGGATCAGCTCTGCTGTTGGATCATATTTTTGGGGAGAAACACCCCCGATTGAGCAGCGATTTTCAATGGATTGGTTTAAGGGAAAATTGGAACCGGAAAACCCCATATTTCATGGGAAAATCTATGATTTCCGGTTCAGATTTTTATATTTTGGTTGAACAACCAGGGTAACAGGGTAACTGATCACCCTTTTCTCGCCCTGCTTAATCACGGGAACTGATTCGTGATTTTTGGAAGCGGTCAAGGCATGTTTTTTTTTTGGAGTCAATGCATGTCCTCTCAAGTACACCCTGAAATCATGGCGTGAAACATCTTTTTCTTTGTGAAACTGGACCTGAGTCACTGGGAGGAGGCCTCTCTAAATGTTGCGGGATAAGCAACAAAAATCAGGTTGGAAACGCTGAAATTTGGAGACAACTTCTATCATGGTGTCGACAGAGTGGTGCTGCCTAGCAAGCTTCTTTCCCTGTCGTCACTCGGCCTTCGTTGCGTTCTGTGCGTTTTGTGCATAGCTTTGTAGGTCTGAAAATGGTGTATGCTGGGCATAGCCGCAAAATGGTGAAGCAGTAGATTCAGGGCTACCCCATGTTCCATCCATCCATCCATCCGTCCGTCCGTCCATCCATCCATCCATCCATCCATCCATCCATCCATCAGCACGTTCATCACCAAGCACCAAAGCTGTGAAGCGTTGTTGAATTCTCCAACAATCTGATTGTTTAGGTGATCAGACTAGGTTTAGACATGTTGAACCTAGGGATTTCGGTTTGTCTGGGTGGATGGATGGATGGATGGATGGATGGATAGCTACAACTCACCATTCATGCTGCGACATGCGGTGATGTCGGATCTCAAAATTTTTCACCAGAGCTGACAGGAGAGAGTTAGCTTCACAGCTGAAGCTGTTCTGGTGGGAGTCTGAAGATGTTCAGCTTCCAATTTTCAAGGAACCCACCTGTTCTGTTCTTATCATTTTACCTATGGAAAATCACCATTTTTAATGGGGAAACTCACTATAAACAAATTGCCATTTTCCATAGCAAACTGTTAAATTACCAGAGGGTAGCATATTTTAGTTCACTCTTTCATTCGATTTCATTCGTATGTCATCCATCCTGTAGTAGATCCATGTAGATCCCCTGTTTGCTGCTTCAAAATCGCCATCCATTCCTGTAAATCTTGATATAAACTCGCCATAACTCTCTGGTTATGACATTAGCCATGGTATAGATGGCCCATAGAAATAGATGATTTTCCCAGCTAGAAAACCTCCATTTATTTACGGGAATTTTCATGGCTATGTTAGTCATAACCAGATGGTAACTCTCCATGTCATCCACCGAAAATCTCAGCAAAATCACCATCCAACACGCCCCAGCCGTGCCGTCGTTTCCGTTGCCGAAGCTGCCGAAGGTTTGGGCGGGATTTCGATCAAAGCATCGAGGGCTTGGTGCTACCGAAGGGCCTAAGACATCTGGAGTTTGGCCGCGAGTTCAACCAGAGTCCCAGGGCTCTATGGTGCTGCGCTAGTGGGATGACCTACTCAATTTCACCAGTGGGATGACTCTTACTGGTGCTAAACGTAGGGAATTTTCGGGAATGATCCATAATCCATCACTAGTTTCATGTCATCATCCCAGCAACCCCCAGCAACCCATCCAGCAACCCTACGTAAAACGCACCAGTAAGTTGATGGCGTAATGGCTACCAGTGGGGTCTACAAAAACCAACAGCAGTCGCAGAACAGTTTAGGCCGCTCAGGCCTTGATTTGCGTCGATGATGGGTTTACCCCTGCAAAGCACGATGAACACAGTTTTTTACATCTCCCAATTTTGACCGAAATTTGGACAACATCGTGATACGACATTGAAGGTGAACAAATAGTCCTGCTTTTTGGCGAACTTACTTTTGATTTTCCAGATTGCTGAAATTGTTGACACCACGCATTATTTCCGGAGACCATCTTCAAGCTTCATATTTCTTTTCAACGATATACATGTGCCATGAAAAATCATGTGGGACACCGCCACTCAACAACTCCCATGACTGGGGATGGTGATGAATTCTGGATGGCAAACATGGCAGGTTTACCACATGATATAGCCAATTTCCATGATTATCCATTTAATCTCATCAACAATCCATCAAAAGTCCCTATTCATGGCCATGATATAGCCATAAAATCTATTATCCAGATATATCTACCAGAGGTCCCATAGTTCCATATCCTGCTATATTGAAATGCAATCCCAGTTCAATGCTTTTACCACACGACATGCCTTGAACCACTGAAATTCAAGGTTTAGAAGATGTGGCGCTGCCCAGTAGCCTCGAAAGTGTCTGGGATGAATGGTACAATTTCTTTTTTTTGGGACACGGAGAGGTTGGATACGAAACTCTCTGAGAGAGTTTGTTTGAGAATGTACCGTGCCTCAAAATCCAATGGTTTATGGTCATTTTCCAATTTCAAAGGACTATTTTTGGGTATATTACCGAATTTTCAGGCACAGCCAGTTATAGACATCCTGTAGATAGAATATGTTGATATATGTTGTCGAGTTTCAGAGCTAATTTGGCAATGGATCAATCAATACCAATATCCTATAATGTTAGTATTGATTAGTTAATAATAAACTATATTACCAATACCAATATCCTATAATCAGTACTAACTATGGATTAGTTAAGAATAAATCCAGATTTTTGATGGCTGAGAAAGCGGCATTGCTAACCTGGGGTGAATCCGGCATGGCTAAATCCCAGCGATTTCCACGAAGCCGTTGTGATGGGTAAGCCTTGGCGGAGGGCAGGTGGAAAACATCCAGGGGGGTTGAGTAAATTAAGAAGCAACCAAATCTTATGGGACAATGATATTTAGATTTCTAGTAAGCCACAAAAAGATGGAAAAGTAAAGTTCTACTTCAATACTGACAATCTTTTGGGCGGATTACTTTATCGAAGGAAGTTTAGAAGTCAAATTTTCGACAATATGGACAGATGAAAAGCAGAGATGGGAAGAGTCAGAGAAGAGACGAGAAGAAGAAAGAAGCCGAAAGAAGAGAAAGTCTCAGAAGAAAGAAGATCCAGGTGTGCGAAAAGGTAGGAAAGTCGCAAAACACGGTGTTTTTCCAATGATTTGTGGCTCCGGAGGGTCGAAAAGTAGGCTCGCTAAAGCGGTGGGTGTTGAGCCATCTGGCCAGATGAGAGATGAAAAGTTGCATGCCGTTGTGGCGCGAAGCACATTTGGAAGTCCAAATGCACAAAGCACACCAGCTTCGGATCACTTTTACTAGTTGAGATGTCGAAAAAGTGCACGCCGTTGTGGTGCGAAGCACATTTCGAAGTGAAAGTGTTAAAAGCACCACATGTTCCGACGACTTTTGGACGTTCAGATGTCGAAAAAGTGCACGCCGTTGTGGTGCGAAGCACATTTCGAAGTCACAATGTTAAAAGCACCACATGTTCCGACGACTTTTGTGCCTTCAGATGTCGTTTCGCGTGGCAGGCGCAAGGGATTGTGCACCTTGTCAAAAGTGAGCAAAACGTGAGGGTTTCGTAGCATTTCCAAAAACGGTGGCACGTGTGGGGCATTTGAAGAGGATCTGCAAAGATGCAATTTCCGTGGCAGGCGCAGTACAAGAGACCTGTTCATCAGAGATGTTAGGAGGTCCAGGTGCTGATTTCCTGAGAGGGGTTGCATTTTGGAGCAGCAGATCTGTAGGTTTGCTAAGATGATTTTGTGTGACAGGTATGACCTGGCATCACTTTTTCGTGGCAGGCGCAGTACTTTAGACAGGTGAAGAAATCGCAAAACGCATGGGTACGAGGCCGTCAGCTCCGCAGTCAACTTTCAATTTTTGAAGGAAGTCTTTGCAGAAGTGCTTCATTTTTGACGTTCGAAATTTCGAAAAATGAGGAAGTCTCGCAGACTTGCTTCGTTTTTGATGTGTGTGTGTGTCAACTTGAAAAATTGACGAAGTCTCGCTGCGCTTCTGATGTTGTCAAGTCCGCGGGATGGCTTCGTTTTCAGGCTTGCAGATAGACAGACTACACTTACACTACAGTGCTGCTACAACATACTACAAGTACAAATGGTGTAAATGAATGACAAGCATTTGCGGAGTGAGGTACATCTTGAAGTCATGTCCCTCTGTCATCGCCAAGGGCTTGGACTGATGGTACTGACGCTTCATTTCCAGAAAAGAATCAATCCATCCAGTCGGCATTCTTTGCAGCTGTCACCGTCACACTGCCACGTAGCATGTGCAGTCTCATGGCACACCACATGAAGGCACAACTGAACTGCTGCTCTGCCGGCAACGCGCTCAGCCAAAGAATTGAAACCGTCTTGGGGTGCTGATTTTTTTTGCAAACTTTAAACGCAGTCCGCGTAATAATTTCGCAGATTCTGTTGGCTGAGTGGGCTAGAATGGCTGAGAGGCTGCTGTGGTCCAGCATGTCGCAGCAGATTGAGACACTTTAGCTTCAGAAATCTGATTGCACAACGTATATATATATACGTATATATATATATACACATATACATATATACATATATACATATATACATATATACAAATATACATATATACATATATACATATATACATATATACATATATACATGTATACATATATACATATATACATATATAGAGCAGCCTAAGAAAGCTTTTGCAAATCACTACAAATAGATTTTTTCCCGAGAGCGTCTGAGCGCAGGGTTCTTCCAATAGTGGGGGTCTGTAAAACATCTTCTCATCTTCACATCTTCTCATCTTCACATCTTCTCATCTTCACATCTTCTCCTCCTCACATCTTCTCCTCATCCTCTCATCTTCACATCTTCTCATCTTCACATCTTCTCATCTTCACATCTTCTCATCTTCACATCTTCTCCTCCTCACATCTTCTCCTCATCTTCTCATCTTCACATCTTCTCATCTTCACATCTTCTCATCTTCACATCTTCTCATCTTCACATCTTCTCATCCTCACATCTTCTCATCTTCTACTCTCTCCTCATCTTCTCATCTTCACATCTTCTCATCTTCACATCTTCTCATCTTCTCACATCTTCTCATCTTCACATCTTCTCATCTTCACATCTTCTCATCTTCTCATCTTCTACTTCTCATCTTCTCACATCTTCTCACATCTTCTCACATCTTCTCACATCTTCTCACATCTTCTCACATCTTCTCACATCTTCTCACATCTTCACATCTTCTCATCTTCACATCTTCTCACTCTTGCCCTCTTGCCCTCTTGCCCTCTCCTTCTTTTCTATTTCTGTTTTGGCGGGAGCAGGGGCAGTGCCAACGAGACGGCACGAAACGCAACCCTTTCGCACGAAATGAGGTTCGATCGCCAAAAGCTGAAGTAAAATTGTGATTTCCACCGGTCCCGCGCAACCTTTTCGCACGAAATGAGGTTCGATCGCCAAAAACTGAGGTAAAATTGCGATTTGCAAGTCGTCCGGCGCAACCCTTTCGCACGAAATGAGGTTCGATCGTCAAAAACTGAAGTAAAATTGCGATTTCAAGGTGTCCGGCGCAACCCTTTCACACGAAATGAGGTTCGATCGTCAAAAACTGATGGAAAATTGCGATTTCAAGGTGTCCCGCGCAACCCTTTTGCACGAAATGAGGTTCGATCGTCAAAAACTGAGGTAAAATTGAGATTTCCGGGTTCCCGGCGCAACGCTTTCACACAAAATGAGGGTCGATCGCCAAAAACTGCGGGAAAAATTGCGATTTCCGGGTTCCCGGCGCAACGCTTTCACACAAAATGAGGGTCGATCGCCAAAAACTGCGGGAAAAATTGCGATTTCCGGGTTCCCGGCGCAACCCTTTCGCACAAAATGAGGGTCGATCGCCAAAAACTGAGGTAAAATTGCGATTTTTTCTGTGTGTCAAACATACCTGCACTAGGTTTCGGCAAGACACTGCTTGGTGTATGTTGCCCCGTTGCCTGGCGGTGTCCTCTTCTTCTGCTTTTACCCTTGACTCAGTTCGAAGCTTCGGCTGAAACGAATCGAGAAGGCAAAGAACGCCGAGAACCCAACGGGGCTTGGGACGGGCCTTGGGACATGACCAAGGGGCCTCTGGCGCCCATGGCGCCCATGGCGCCCATGGGCCTCAGCTTTCGCCTAGGTGGTCACAGCCTTCTTCGCCTATGAGGATGGCGGAGTTTCATCCCGTGAGAGTGTGTTGGCCAGGGACTTGTCGGACTTGTCGGACTTGTCGGACTTGTCGGACTTGGCCAGAGGAGGGGCAGACAATTTCAATCGTTGGATATCATTGGGTGATGAGAATGCCAAGTGTTTCTTATGTTTGGGTGTAAAGGCTAGGCGAAAAATCTTCAATTGCACACAGCACAAGCACAAGCACCTCACCTCACTTGGCACAGATTTGCACCCAAAGCTTCTGTGTGCTGTGTGTCAAAGCTTCTGTGTGTAAAAGCATCTGTGTAAAAGCGTCTGTGTAAAAGGGTCTGCTTAAAAGTGTCTGTGTGTAAAAGCGTCTGTGTGTAAAAGTTTCTGTGTGTAAAATCGTCTGCGTGTAAACGCTTCTGTGTGTAAAAGCTCCTGTGTGTAAAAGGGTCTGCGTGTAAAAGTGTCTGTGTGTAAAAGCTTCTGTGTGTAAAAGCGTCTGTGCTGAGGTAAAATTGCGATTTTTTCTGTGTGTACAAAGCTTCTGCGTGCTGTGTGTCAAAGCTTCTGTGTGTAAAAGCATCTGTGTAAAAGCGTCTGTGTAAAAGGGTCTGCTTAAAAGTGTCTGTGTGTAAAAGCGTCTGTGTGTAAAAGTTTCTGTGTGTAAAATCGTCTGCGTGTAAACGCTTCTGTGTGTAAAAGCTCCTGTGTTTTAAAAGGGTCTGCGTGTAAAAGTGTCTGTGTGCAAAAGCTTCTGTGCGTAAAAGCGTCTGTGTGTAAAAGCTTTTGTGTGTAAAAGTGTCTGTGTGTAAAAGCTTCTGTGTGTAAAAGCGTCTGTGTGTAAAAGTTTCTGTTGTGACTGTTGTGTCAAAGTGTCTTTGTGTCAAAGCGTTTGTGTGTAAAAGTGTCTGCGTGTAAAAGCGTGTGTGTGTAAAAGTGTCTGTGTGTAAAAGTGTCTGTGTGTAAAAGTGTCTGTGTGTAAAAGTGTCTGCGTGTAAAAGCATCTGTGTAAAAGCGTATGTGTGTAAAAGCTTCTGTCTGTAAAAGCTTCTGTGGGTAAAAGCTTTTTGTGTAAATGTGTCTGTGTAAAAGCTTCTGTGTGTAAAAGCTTCTGTGTGTAAAAGCTTTTGTGTGTACAAGCGTCTGTGTGTAAAAGGGTCTGTGTGTGAAAGTGTCTGTCTGTAAAAGCTTCTATGTGTGAAAGCTTTTGTGTGTAAAAGCTTCTGTGTGTAAAAGCTTCTGTGTGTAAAAGTGTTTGCGATGCAAACTATTGTCTTGCACTTCTGCTATTTTGTCTTAATACTCCTCTTCTCGACTGCCTATAACACATCTTTAATATATTGTTTCTAATTTGGTGTTTCCATACTAACAAGAGAAGACCCTGCTCCTCTACGCTCTCGGGCCATCCGTCGTCTAGTTTTTTGCATTTTGTCGTGACCCGCTGAATGACTTACACTGAACCAGGCATTAGAGGGGCATGTGGCACCAACTTTGCCGTCAATGATGCACCTGGACGGTAACATCAGCATAACCCTCGAGGCAGGCTGGCTGCACAAAGGGAGCTTGTGTTCTTGCTGTTGTTAGCTTGCAGGCAGATATGGAATTCTGGTACCTACGACAACTCCTCTGCTACGCCTTGCCAGCGTGGCAGATGGTGCTGGCCATGCCAAAGAAGACCCGCAAGGCCACATAACTCATGAAAAAAAACATGTGGGATGAGCTGTCTGCCAGGCATTGTCCCATTTGGGTGCGGTTCGCCGGACCTACACTCCAGCTGCCGTGCAGAAGGGAGTCTGGTCCAGCTCCAGCGGCCTCGTCTACGGAGACCCTGGAAACGTTCGGGGCTCAGCGCAACCCCTCCGGCACGGCAGCATCCATTTGCCCGTATAACTGAGGCGGCTTACGCAGTGGTCTGGCACAAGTTGGGTCTTTCGAGCATGCTGCACTGCCCACACTCAAGTGCTGAATTTTCACTGACTGATGTAGGAAGGCTTCTTTGGACCACATAAGCTGCCCATTTGTAGTAGATGCCCTGACAGGAGAAGGTGCTTTTGCCGAAGTCAAGGTCGGGGCGGAAGACGCGAGCGAGGTAGAACTCGAAGAGGAAAAGGAGGTTTTGGATCCGACAACCGGCCGTCGAAGAACGGTCAAGGCCGACCCAAAACTTGCCGAAGAAGCCGACCCCGCAGGAACAGAAGGCCGAAGAACGCCAAAAGGGGTGAACGCTTGGGCCCCCCATATAGGGACCCCCGAATAGTTGGCGTATATAAAGACATCAAAAGTGCCAACTAGCTCAAACAACAGCAAAAATGGGGTATACAGGATTTAGGGGTTTATAGATGGCATACCCCACGGGATACTTGTATACTTGAATGTTGAGGATTGCAGCCCTGAGCCAAGGTTTCCACAGCTAAACCATTTGACAGCTAGCCCCATCATGAAGGTTCAGGGTGTAAATGACTGACAAGCATTTGCCGAGTGAGCTACATCTTGAAGTCATGTCCCTTTGTCAGCGCCACGGGCTTGGACTGGACATGTGTGATGGTACTGACGCTTCATTTCCAGAAAAGAAGCAATCCATCCAGTTGGCATTCTTTGCGGCTGTCACAGTCACACTGCCACGTAGCATGTGCAGTCATGGCACACCACATGAAGGCACAACTGAACTGCTCTGCCGGCGACGCGCTCAGCCAAAGAATTGAAGCCGTCTTGGGGTCCTTCATTTTTGTTTTGCAATCTTTAAACGCAGTCCGTGCAATGATTTCGCAGATTCTTTTGGGTGACCCCGGTCCCGCCAGGCCACAAGCATTTGACCAGATATGTTTAGGCGGGTCACAGCAAGATTGGAGATGCTTTTGTGCACATGTCATCGACAGATGATGTGGAATGGAGATTGGCAGCTCCTGAGAGCAACACTGCCTGGATTTCACTTGACATCAAGATTTTGCTCAACAAGTGCCCTGAAAACGGTGCTTCGTCTCATAATGCCAGCTAAGAGAGCCGCACCTAGTGCTCCGGCTGCCCCGAATAAGAGGGTTGCAGGCAAACAGCCTGCTGCCGTGGCGGACGCGCAGCCACCTTTGCCGCCTATCTTGGAATCCCTCAGAAAACACATAGAGGAAGATGGTCGGGTGAAGGATTTCCTGGATGAGATCTCAGGGCCGGTGGCGATGGGGGGCATTGAAGAGTACAGTGCTGAAGCCTGCAAATCGGCCATGAAGGCAAGAGCTACACGTGTGTCCTTCCGGTTCCATCAATTGTTCCGTGGAGCACCAGCCACCAGGGTATTTACCCATCCGAGCAGCAATTGGAGAAGTGTGAAGACGCATATTGGTCGGTGCAGAACAACCTGCGGGCTGACTTTAAAGGCCCCAGTGTGTGTGAGTCATGTGCAGTTGGTCAACAGTGTTCAGATAGATGTGTATTATTGTGTATTGCCATTGCTGTTTTGTGATGCATGCGAGCATCACGCAAATCATATTTAGACCACCTGTGCCATGTTGAAGGTTTGAACTTTACCACAGAGATCCACGTTGTTGCCACCAGCTTGACAAAAGCGGACCTCACAAATTTGGAGACCCTTGACGGGGATGCCTACAGGTTGTCCTACTGGTATGCTGTCTTGAAAGCTTTGGGTGTGACATGCCGGATTCTTGTCGCATTTGAAGCGGGTGGCACACTCCATGAAGGTGACCTTTGTGTATTGCCGCAGCCAGGAAGAAATCGAGAGGTGGAGGTGGCAGCTTAGCTCCCGAGTTTCGGTGCTCAACGAAACCCAGGTGTTGAGAGGTTGGAAACGCTTGCTGGGGATTGTACAAGTTGCGCAGCAATTGTCAGCCTGGAGCCTTCCTTCTAGCGATGCAGATGCAACTTAGCAGGTTTGTAAAGCCATATGAAGCCCTTATTGATGAAATTCGGGGACTGCTCCCGCCGGCGACAGGTATCCAAATGGCTTGCTCAAGAGAATGTGCGAGTGTCAGCTAGGGATCGTAAGTCCGGTGACTTCAGCTGGCTTGGAGCAAGTGTGGGAGGAGATGGAGAATGTGGGAGACGTAGACCATCCGCTTAGCAAGAGCAGCACCGTCGAAAAAAAATGCCAGCTCGCAACGTCCAATTGCAAAAGTCGCTGCTCAGTTGGGTTGTCCACACCATTCGTGCGTCCATGAGATCAAAGATCGTTTCAAGTTTACACTACCTTAAATACACTACACTACGCTGATTAATCTAATTACGCTACACTACACTAATTACACTACAACTACAGCAACTACTACTACCACAGCTACAGCTACAATTGCGACTACACTACATTACACTACACTACACTAATTACACTGCAGCACGCTACGACTACAAATACAACTACAACTACACTACATTTTACAACGCTACATTACACAACACTACACTACACTGATTGCACTACATCACACTACAGCTACAACTACAGCTGCAACTACGACTAGAACTACCACTACATTACACTGCTCTACGCTGCACTACACGAATTACACGACACTGCACTGCAACTGCAACTACACTACTTTACAATACGCTACGCTAGGCTACACCACACTATACCACATTACAGTACACAACGCTGCAGAACACTACGCTACACGAATTACACCACACCACAACTGCAACTGCAACTGCCACTACACTACACTAATTACATGACATTACAACTACAACTCCGCCGCTACACTACACTACAAATACAACCACAACTGCACTACACCACACTACATCCAGTTGTGATGAGGGACCGCTGCAACCATTGCAACCACTCCAAAAACACAACTCCAACCACCTTTCGGCCCATCAGTGGATTCGCTCTGCCATCCGTGATTCACAACTACCAACCCTATAGATTTCCCATTTTTGAAACTTCCGCCACCGCCTTGTGCGGTACTGGTATTCAACCAAGAAGTATCGCCAAACATTGGGATTTACCTATCGACCATGATTCAGGCGACGCCCATCTTGTGGAACGGATGGATCACCGTCCAAATTTTGCGGACCTGATTTTTTTCACTCAAGATCATTCGGATTTTTTGGGATGTGTAGCCCTTCAAAACTTGGGAAAAAAATCGATGAAACGGGAACTGGAAACCAAAAACCCGCCCAAGGCTTGATCTTCGGAGATGGCTATAACACCAGCCTGGATCAGGTCACTTGGAACATGGTGATTCCCCGATGGTTGGGAAATCACTGGCTCTTGAGAGCTGGGAAAAACATCGAACGATCTAAATGGGGGATTTATTCCATGGCTGCTACGTTTGAGTACCGGAGGACAACTATGTTTTGGTATTAACCATCCATTTTTGGGGACCGCACCCACATGTGCCTGTCTGAACATTCCAATTTCACGGCAGAATCCATGGCAATTTCAATAAGGAAAATAACGATTAAGCAGTGGAATGTGGGATATTATTACAGTAATCTACGATCAAACAAAACCACACGTTTGGGCAAGTTGTAAAGACCCTCACCGCGACCTCATTGCGAATGATTGTGCAGATTGTTCATATTCGGGGAGTCCCCTTCAAATCACTTTATTTCAGGTTGGTCAAATACTACATGAAATGTCAAAGTGACTTCCAACCATACCAGTTATGGGGAAGTTTTGGTTACTTAAGAAAAAATCATATTCCACCCTTTGTGAAGGGGTACCCTCTGGTAAACTAACAGTTTGCTCCGGAAAATCAACATTTTTATCCAGGTTTAATAGGTAAACAGCTTGGTGGTTTCAAACATTTGTTATTTTCCATTTCATATATGGGATGTCATCCTTCCCATTGACAAACTCATATTTTTCAAGATGGTTAGTTAACCACCAAGCAGTAAATCATTGAACTAAGTGGGCCCTTTTCATCGTTTACTGCAGGCTTCTTCAAGGTTAGCCATTGCGCATATCCCTGGACGATTCTGCAATTTCAGAGAAAATCACTGAGTTCAAAGATGATGGACATTTGGGATTTAGCCATCAAACATGGTGGAAATAAGATATCTAAAATGGTGGAAATTCGATTGCTTGGTAGTTTCGATGTGGTTTTCCGCAACATTGTAAACAGTTGGACACTTTTGCTGATGATTCGGTGACCATCGCCATTCTATTTTCTAAAAACATCAAAATCCATGTTTGTGATGTTGCAAAAGGTCCGTTTAGACTCATCATAATTCTTTGATTTTATATTTTAGGTTCCGTTCACAAACTTTGGAAAAAACCATCCTGTGCGGATGGTGACTCTTTGTGTCTCAGGTGCCACTGCCTTCCAGTCTACGGACCTTGGCCTTCGGAAACTTCGGCCAAAGTCGTGTTCGGAAGAAACATGGTGTGTCCACAGCCAAAGATGGTGGCTTTAAACCAGCCAAAATGGAACCTTTGGGGAAGCCTTTTGGAGAACAGAATGTGTAGAATGAATGAATCTGTATGAATCTGGTTGGTAGCTTGGGAACATTTTTTATTTTTCCATATATTGGGAATAATCATCCCAACTGACGAATATTTTTCGGAGGGGTAGGTCAACCACCAACCAGGAATGAATATGATGAAATTGCCATGATCCATTCTGTCCATTCTTATTCAACAGCAGAGTAGGGGATTTCATCCATGAATCATGGATTTTTTGAACGGATGTGGACATGGCAATTTTGTCAACATGAGGTATCAGGTTGATAGCCACAGACTTTTTGCGATGCAGATCCAATGATTATTTGTTAAAGCAGTAATGGGTTACGGTAACCATATTTTGATGCTTGAGAAAGCACCATGGTAAACATGGTAAACTTGGGATGGAAGATGTTTGCCAACAACACACGGTGAATTTTCCTCAAGCACATGGACTAAAGTCAACAAAGTCAACCGGGCAATAAGAATTGATAAGAATTTTCAAGACTTACATCACATCACTATGGGTGATTCTACAACCATGTCTGATGAAACAACCTGGGGACCAAGTTGCCTCGCGATGACGTTCCTCCGAACTGCAAAAGATAGGGGAAATTTACAGGAACCCCCCTGGCACTGATGGGAGCTATGTTCGAAGCTATGGGAAGCGACCATGGTTTTTTTTTGGGGTCCCTATAATTTCCATTGAAAATGCACTCTGCGTATGAAAAATTGGGTGAAATCTCCTCAAGATTTCGCTGCCTTTTTTTTGGAATGGGCTGTTCCAGTTGAAATCAAGATGGATCATGTAACTTGGCTTTGGATGCAACTTGGGCACCTGAAATCAGGGACAGAAGATGGGTCTATCACAGTGCTTAGCCTCCGGATTTTCCAGCCACGATTGATGACACCGGGGAGGCTATGGGCTCAAAAACCAACAAGACCGGTACGGCTGATGGTTCATCATGCTGAGTAGGTTGTAACTGTGGTTTAACCCCCTGGCTGAATTAGGTGATATGATACGGTGATGGATCAATACCTACAAATACCATGGCTGGGTAGACAGACATCCATAAATCCAAGCTGTTTTGATGTAAACTGCAGGGGTTTCCATGGGCTTTGACAGCCATATGAGATGCCACTTTTCCCATCATATGATCCAATCTTGTCTCATTAACATCCTATGAATTGGGCTCATCATCATTTCACTTTCCCACACTTTCCCATTCAACTGCTTGACAAAATGGGACAGTAAAATCCCATTCAGGTCCCACAAGCCATCAATTCACCATCAAATCCCCGTACAAGATGGTTTTTCCATGTCATGTTCTACCATATTATCCTAAAAAAAACACATCAAGTAATTATGATATAGTAACCATAGTTTTAATCCAATTGATGCACAAACGGATATCCAATATATGTAACAATGGATATCCATATATATTATCCTATGTAACATAGTAACCACAGCTTTATCCTGTTTTGATGTACCAATATTTTTATCCAAACTGTACAAAATTGGAGAACAAATAGTTGCTACATCAAAACAGGATTTTCATATCATATATATATATGAACATACCACCATATTCTCCATAGAAAACAGGTCGATTTTGCACCTCGATCCGAGGAAACGACTTCAATCAGCCCTTGGATGCCTCAACACTCCCAGGTTCGACGTTCGACGTTCGACCGTTCTGGCCAAGGGGTCAGCCAAAAACGATGAACACATAAAAATATGGAAAGCCTTTGGTAAACATATATATATAGAAAAACATAGAAATATATATATATACACATGGAAAACATAGAAACATAGACACTACACAGACACTTATTTATGGAAAACCTCCGGTTTCTCCAAATTTGATCCATAAATGGTGGATTCTCCATATCTCAATTGATAGTGGGCATGATGCAAGCAAGAGCATTTGGAGTTTTGATCTTCCAAAATCCAGGAAATTGACAACACGGTCGGCGTTGGCACGTAAGCATCAGACCTTGGAATTCAAGCAGCATCCCATCCCATGGTATGTCATCATTCTCCCTTCTACAGATTGCGAGAAATTCCAATATGTTCCTGTGAAAAACTATCATAAATTGGGTTTATCATCATTTCATGTTTCTTTTTTTTCCCATTCAACTGCCTAATAAAATGGGATTATCAAATTCGGATCATATTCAATTCTGGTACCCTCCCGTGGAAATCCACTATGCATATGGGAAATCATAGGAACATATGGGAACACCCTGTAGAAATGGAGGTTTAGAGCTAGGAATATCACCGAACAACAAATGGGTTTCAAAAAGGATATGGAAAACCCAGGGTTTCCCGTTGGGAAAATGCTGAGTTTTCCTGCGCCCGTGGGAAGGGAGATCAGGTGGCCAAATCCTGGAAATCAATCGACAGAAAAAATGGTGAGCAGTGGTGAATCACTTTTGCATCTGTTGTTTGTTGGGTACTTTTTTTTACGTCCTAATATGACCTATTTTAATCTATTTTAATCTATTTTACCACTTCAACTTCTAACTTCACACCTTTCGACTTCCTTTTTGGGTCCGGAGAACAGCGAGCGTCACTTATTAAAATCGACCCTGTGGAGGCAGCCTGGAAGAATTGATGCTGGGGCAGAACTTCAATCAGCGGCTGAACATCAACAGCCTTCCAGACAGTCTCAAGGTTCTGAAGTGCCTTTGGTGCGGATGGGATTTGGTGGGATCCGTGGTTCATCACCTACTGGAACCCCGATTATATGGATATGGCTATAATATAAGCCAGTGAATCACCTTTATGCCATGTTATCTAAGGATATATAAGGTATACCCCAGTTATGTTCCTTAGTAGGATAATCGGCAACAGAGGGATGTATAGTGGGGGAGCAGGCCTGGTTTATACCGATTTATAGCCTATAAACATCTATAAACTGGGATTAACTGCTGACTTAAAACCAGGATACATATTATATTCTTCACCAGTTATAAATGGTGCCTTTCGGGACTTTGACATTCACATCAGCTTGTCGGATGGGAAACCAGTGGGGTGAAGATGAAGATCTCATGCTTGGAGAGATGCGGAGATCTCAAACATTTGGGGAGTATACAGTGATTGTGAGTCATGTAGACAGAATGATGTGCTTTGATCAATCATCTGTGATTGTGTGGATAGACAGTGTGAGACACACACACACACACATATTTGATGACGATGATGATGATGATGATGATGATGATGAGGATGAGGATGAGGATGAGGATGATGATGATGATGATGATGATGATTAGGATGATGACGATGACGATGACGATGATGACGATGACGACGACGATGATGATTCATACATGATGCAATATACATACGTACTATGAAATATATCTGTCTGTACTATATGGAAATTAGACCAGACCAAGCTTGGTCAAGAAGTTAATTTGACAACATTGTTTTCAAGCAGTTGAACAAGAACATATGGGAAGCCGAAATGATGATAAACCCAATTTATGTTTTTTTTTGGTAAATGGGAACATATTGGAAAATATGGGATAATAGACATCCCCCTAATATTCAGCACTCCTTGAATGGTCCTAAATATGTGTTTTCATACCCTGCCCTGAACATCGCGATAAATTGGGGCATTTTTGATTTTTGGACAGACTCACTTGATCATAGATTTCGGTGAAGTCGTTAATTCTTGGGTGTTTCCATCTAGAACTATCATTTGGGCATATCCCCAGTGTTTTTTTTTTTTTTTTTTTTTCGGTGCTCAAATCTCCGTTTGAACCCTCCGACTTCCCGACTTCTTGAACTGTTCAACATCTGTTTTTTTGGCAGGTCAACACGCCATCAAAGTTGTTGCATTTTCACAGCTGCAGTGCATTATTCTCAACACTAACTGAAGGGACTTCAGTGTAGGTTTTTTCCTGGATTTCTCATCCCAGTTTCTTGCCTGGAAAGTTACTTCTCCTCAAGAGCTGTTCTTCCGTGGGTGTATCCCATAGTCATCCCATGAATATCCCACAATCAGCTATAATCATCCTATGAATATTCCATTAGCAATCAATGACAATCAAGAATAGTCAGATATTATCCCATATTGTTATCCCAAATCCCATTGGATCCTATACAATAATCCTATTTTGATATAGATGCCGTATTTTTCAAAACCTCCCAGATCCCATGAATTTCATCCTATTGATATATTCCCAGGTTCGATATCTGATGTGAATTCCCAGTGATATTCCGATGAAGATGCCCTATTGAAAAAAACCCATTGGGATCCCAGATCCGATGAAGTCCGATCTTCCCAATAGATATCTGATGTGAAATCCCAACCAGAGATTTCCGATGAAGTCCCAGGTTCGGCTTCTATTTCAACCAACCCATCCTGCAGAGCAAAACCTGCGGTTGCTTGGGCGGCGACTTGGAATCCAGGATTGGCGACTGCAGGGGGTGACTGACTCAGAGTCCTTGTTTCAATGGTGACTTAAGGGTGGCTTAACGGTGACTTAACGGTGACTTAACGGTGATTTCATGGTGATTTAATGGTGATCTAACAGTGATTTAAGGGTGATTTCATGAACTTTCATAGAACTGAATGAGGATTTCACGGTGACATACGAAAAGATATGGAACATGAATGAACATGAACTTCGCCTTGGACCTTGGACATGATTTACAAACCATGGATTTTCCGAAGATTTTTTTTGTGTATCTACTGGAGTGTCTCCAGCAAAGGTGGGGTATGATATAGTGAAGCCAATATGAAATTGGTTTTGTTGGCGTCTTCAGCACCAGTAATCTAACGTGGCGAAATCCGCCTGCTGACCAATGAACCCAACTGACCAAACAAAGTTGGGGGCTTCACGCCACCAAGAATGACTTTGTACGAAACAGAAATGGGGATAGAAAAGCCAGCAAGGATCACTTGCATCCAAGGATGCATTAACTGAACCCGGCTCCTTTCGCTGTTTCCAAAGAGGATCCTGTGAGTTTCCCCATAGAAATAGCATGGTGATTTTCCATGGCGAACTGTGAATGTCATAACCAGATGGTACCCGGCCTGGAAATGGTTTCCACCTGGCCTCAAGTTTCAGTGTAAATCATCTGTAAATCATGTGACCATGATCGAACTATGAGCTACTTTCGATAGCTACGTACGTACGTTTCGCAGGAATTTTTTAGTGGATGTCGCAGGTTGCCAAGAAATTATGGGCATATCATGGGCATATCACATATTACCCTCTGGTAAACCATAGGAAAACCATAAGAAAATGGAGGTTTACCCTCTGGTAAACATACAAAAAGCTATTGAACATGGCCCAGTCGAAATAGTTGATTTATCCATTTATAGCATGGTGGATCTTTCCATGGTTTTTTGTATGTTTAGAGGGTAAGTCACGGGATACATACACAAAATGGGATGACACCTGGATAATCTTTGGATGATTTTTTTCACGACCAAATGGCCGTCGCGACATCGGAATGATGGGAATTGGATTGAGGTATCCCCAAGAGGCTACAGACCGTGTCTAAAAATATTTCCCATTTTGGAGAGGTTAAAGATGACTTGTTGGTGACGAAATCATAGCTAGCCTCCCTATTTTTTTTTTGTTCACAGGGTTGAGCCTTGGTTTGGTAGACACCTTTCACGTTGGTTTTTGCCATATATGGAGACATCTACCCAACCAGCCACAACCTTTGTGTTTAGGAGCCACCATCTAAGGCAAGCGCGTTGCGTTTCCAGCCAATTTGGAGACGTTGACGTCACTCGGTATGTGGTAAACCCAATGCCAAAAACCATCCCAAAAAAAACACAATTCTTATGGGTTGTATAACCCATCCCAAAATGGTATATAGGTTGATGATTATATAGTGTTTCTCCATGTTTCTCCCACATTACTTGGTGATTTTGGTTCTCACTTCCCCAAGTTGGTCTACAGGACACTTTGAGACGTTGATGTCTGATTGCGTTGCTGTTGATCGTGCGTTCCCTTGACCAAGGCAGACTAGACTAGACTTGGTTGTTTTGGGGAATGTTTCCCCAAAAAGTCCAACAAGAAAATTTGGGGTGTTTACACCATTCTAGGATACAGCACTCCATTGAACACTCCGAAGTTGCTTTAAAAATTCTCAAGAACCATTCATTTTTTCTTTCTTGGTGTGTGTGTGTGTGTACACATCCATTTTGTCTTGGGGGTTCACCATAAAACACTCATTAATTGGCTATGGGTCAATACCTATACATACCATTTTTAGTGGGATGAACATCCATTTACCAGCTATTTTGGGGTTCACTAGGTACCAGGGTTTTGACCCATCCCCAATTCACCCTCTGTTATAGGTAAAGCCCAGTTTCTTTTTGCCAGATTTCATTGCCGCAAGCTGCCACGCAACCCTGCAGGTTCAGCCACGCCTTTGATGCAAATCTGGCAGGGGTGGAATTCCCGAGCACGCTGAGAAGTGTGAAGTTTGGAGACAAGTTCAACCAGCTACTTGACGACAGTCAGATACTACCCAGATGAGTGTAAACCAACAACAAATTGGAGGTTTCTAAAGACTTTGACCATCACAATTTGGGGTTTTAAACCACCATGAAACGGGGATATATATATATATATAACTGTCTAAACTACCTTTGTTGGTAGATTGTCACTGGGGTCACACAACGTAGTCATTTTTTGGGGAATCTTTTGAAGCATTGTGGGAACCTTTGTTATATCCAGCCAGCACTGCAAAGATGAAGGACTACCACAATATGTATCGAAGACACATATGAGAATTTATATGACAACATTTATATATGGGTTAGATGATACCATCTGGTTACTTAACATAGCCATGGAAAATCACACTGTTTAATAGGTAAAGCATCTATAAATAGGCCATCTATACCATGGCTATGTTAGTCATAACCAGAGGGTAGGTATACCCCCTGGTCGTCAAACATGGTGATTTTTCCAGCTGTAAATCTCCATTCAATTCCCCTCTGGGATCATCCCTCTGGGGAGTATCCCGGCCTGGTATCCATGGCTTTACCATAGGAAAATGGAGGGTTTTAATGGGAAAACCATAGGAAAACCATAGGAAAACCATAGGAAAACCATAGGACAATGGAGGTTTACCCGGCCTGGTAAACGTTTACCCCAAAAACGATGGAAAGATCCACCATGTTTAATATGTTTCATGGGAAAACTCACTATTTCGACTGGGCCATGGCTTCCAGTTTGCAAACTGTTAGTCATTACCAGAGGCTATCCCTACCAGATGAGAACCTGTGTACCGAAGCTTGAGAGGTCCTGGTGAAGCCTTGGTTCCTGGCCATTTTGTTGCACCCTAGTTATGTTCGTTGGTTTTTTTAAAACCCCCAGTAGTTTGATACATCTACCATAGACCATCCCCAATGATTGGAGTCATAATGAGCCACCTTAGGCTACAAACACCAACTACAAATCCACATTTTTCGCCACTGAAATCCCCGAGAATTGATTGATGTTTTTTCGCGCCAGGGACCTGTCGAAGTTGAAACTTCCCAGTTCACTCCATAGCTTATCGCTGGGAGAATCTTTGGCGGCAACAAAGGGCCACCGGGCGATCGGTGAACCTCCTGGGCACAGGTCTGGAACGTAAAGATGTTGTTTGAAAATTAGATTCCCAAAAGGATCCCAGCAAACTAATCTTTTTTTTTTGAGGCCACCCATTGATGAGTAACTGTGACATGGCTACCAAAGCATGCGATCCTCATAGAAAGTGGGTGCATGTAACTGTATCAACAGCAATGGACTACAGGGCCGTTGCAACAACTTGACGCGCATGGGATTTCTGATTCCCTTCATTGGCTGGACGCTGTGGACAATCCACACAGTGCGTCGAGTCAACGGAAGTTCAGGTTCCATCTTCAATTTCAGTGAGCCAAATGGGGATACCCTCTGGTAATTTAACATAGCTATTGAAAATGGCCATAGAAATAGTGGATTTTACCATTAAAAATGGTGATTTTCCATAGTTATGTTAGTTTACCAGAGGGTAATGAGCAAAACGATTGAAAACTGCTTCACCCTGAAGATGTGAAGTTTTTCTGCCGATCCCCAAAAACCGGAAGACTTTGGGACCAGAGGCGGACACGAACCATCCCAACATCATTTTTTTTTGGCAACTCTTGAGCCGTGGTCAAACATTTGGGTTGGTGAAACATGGCTATAGTCAAACCAACCAATTACAAATTATTGTTGTCTATCATTCCATCAACATATCCCCACCTCATTTTAGCGGAATCCATGTTTGGAAGAATCTTCAACCAAGTCCGTCAATAGCAAAAACAACCAAAAAGAATCCAGATTGATGCGGGTACAAATCCAATGGATCTGGGGTATATCCATGATCTTGATTCTCGGTGAATGATAGTGAGGGGAAGATAGGTACTATGATGTTTCTATCTACTGTAGCCATCTGACGTCCCTTGTGTCTGTTGGGAGCAAGCCTGTCAAGCCTGGTTGGTGTGTAACCCAAGTATTCACAAGGTCACAAGGCTACCAACTGAGCTCAACAATCCCATCCCCCGTTATAAACCCCAGAGTCAACATGGTGGGACCATGGTTTCTGCTGTTTTTTTTTTTTTGAATTCATTCCATTCTATCCCCGTGAATCAGCGTTTCATTGGTAAAATGCTGACTTTTTTGGGTCCAGTTCCACTAGGAAATGTGGTCTATAGTTCACCATAGTTACTAGTTGAATGGGTCCAGTTCCACTAGTTACTATAGTAACTACAGTTATAATTTGGGGGTAAGTGGTCTATAGATCACCATAATTTCTATAGTTGTAGGGGCCTCATATCCCTTCTTGGTTCTTACCATAGTCGAGACCGAATAGCAACCCCAGCACCTCATAGATCTGGCAAACCCATGGGGGAAGCCGTTCGGAAAAGGATCTACCTTTGTGGTGGGATTTTCCACATGTAAACCTTGGAGGCTAATGAGAATTCAATGGCAATTTATGGTGTTTCAATGGGAAATAGGGGGCACATCCCATTGTACGAGTATATTACCAGAATATTCTCATGATATTTCCAATATTATTCAAAGTATATTTGATATTACATCCACATTATGCCCCTATGATATTCCCTATCTCTCTCTCTCTATATATATATATATAGACACACACCCAATATATCTCCCATATTACTGCAGGATGGTGCCCCCCAGTTATGTTTGTTGGTTTATAAGCCCCATGAACTAGTTCGTTGTATCTACCAACCATCGAATTCAGCCACTTTTATAAGGCAACTGAACGCTATCCGATGGAACCCCATCCTGTATGGTTTCCGGTTACCCTTTGGTTATTCAACAGTTCGCCATGGAAAATCACAACTTTTAATAGGTACATCATCTAATCTATAAATCCCATTTAATTATCCCATCTGATCATTTATAACTCCCATAAATTACCGATAAATCCCATCGAACATCATCTATAAATTATCCCACCAAATTATCCCATTGTAACAGTCATTTATTAATCCCATAAACAGTATATCCCATTATATGGAAGCCATAGTCAAACATCAATCCCATCTATAAATCCATATGAGATCAAATATTAATATAGATGTAAGCCATCTTCATGGGATAACAGAACATATATATATACACCCTCTGGTTATTTAACATAGCCATGGAAAATCACCATTTTTAAGAACGGTAAACCATCTATTTCTATGGGCCATCTATACCATGGCGAACTGTTAAATAACCAGAGGGTATATATATATACATATTATCATATAATTATATAATAGGTACATCATCTATCTGTCATCGTCATGGCATCTCGATCTCGCTCCCCAATGGCCTGGCCTTAGGAGATGTTCGATCAGCCGGCCAGCTTTCCCAGTGGTGCCTGGACGATTGCGGCCCTTTCCTGGTGTGCCATGTGATGGGTCAAAAGCCAAATCCCCTATGGTGATGGGTCATAATCCTATCTAAATGGTGGTTTGAACAGGAACACCACAATTAAATAAACATAAATGATGATCTGGTTGGTGGTTTGGAACATGAATTTTATTTTCCATTTCATATATGGGATGTCATCCTTCCCATTGACGAACTCATATTTTTCAAGATGGTTAAAACCACCAACCAGTTAATGTCATAATTCTGTATGATATGAATAACCATAATTAATGGATCCACCTTTATGATTTATTATCCATAATTATGGTTGGTGGTGAATGAGCCATTAAAAAATACATGATTATGATCCTTTATGCTCAAAAAACATTCATAATAGTTATTAAATGTGATTAACATTTTTTCAGCATATTATTGACCCATTGTCAACCATACTGTGGATGGTTGCGAAATCACCAGTTGATGGGCAAAATCCTATGACAAAATCCCATGAGAATTGGCAGTGTTTCAAAGGATTCCTACTAGTTACCACCTGGGATTTCGCAACCATCCGCAGTATCTCGAACAGCCATTTTTTAATACACAATCAATGGTAAATAACCAATGATAGGGAACTTTTACGACGAGTTAAATGGCTTTAATTGACCTATAAATCAATGATAACACCAATAATTTGCGCCTTCCATGCAAGTTGAGGCCCCCCAGTTGTCAGTTTGTACAAAAAAACACATTTAACTACTGTTACATCCCGAATAAACCCTGGTTTTAAGAAAAGTCAGTTTAGCTATCGGCCTCACCTTGTATACTGATCAATGATAAACTTATTGTACATGGTAAATGACCAATAGAAAACTGATAATACACTTGTTATTGATAAAGGAATGTAATGAGGTAAATGGACAGATACTTGTTGATTATATATAAATATCATTATGAATAGATTTAATGACTAATCAATGACCTATATATGGTATCTGGACAACTAACAATGAATGGGGGTGAACATGGGATATGCATACAATGGCTATATTATAGGATAGTGATATGCGATAACACTATGGTACAATATCTGGATTGATGGAATACTATATATTATATATAGGGATATGGGATATGGATATAGCAACCCCGGGATGCAGACCAATGACAAATTTGGAAATAATGGGGAAACCATAATTGAACTACCTTCCTGGAAACACTTTTCGGCATCTTCTTTGGGGTTTCTGTACTACATATATATATATATATGATAGACTTAGTATATGTGCCGTGGTCAAAACGAGGATGGACAATCCGGTTATACCAGGGGGATGAAATTGAGATTTATCAATATATCTGGGTAAAATATAACGACCTCACTGCGACCGAACCCTGGGAATCATGGTTAATAAGGGAAATCATCCCAACATGGCCTTAATTCAGGTTAGTGAATTATTACAATTTACCCATATATATATATATATCCTACAAAAATAGTGATATGACTCACCTTTCTATCGTTTTTTGGGGGTTAGCAGATTATGCATGACGGCGTTCCAACAAAAACCCTCAGCCGCGCATTGGCCCAAGCCTTGGCTACCGTGGAATGATGCTCCAGCATGCTCCAATGGTAATCTCGATAACCCAAAGTTGGCTGTGGGATTTTTGATGGGTGTAGAGCCGCCACCTTAGAATCCCATATTCCATATATACCATATTCCATAGATGTACTATTTTTCGATGGGTATTTTTGGCGGCAGAATCATATGGCTATGGAAACTGTACATCTAGACATCTAGCTGATGAGTTCCCAGTGACTGGACCCATCCGTAACCCGAAACTCCCAAGGCTTACAGCAGCTTTTGGTGTCCCGGAACTTCTTTGTGCCGAAGGGCCAGAAGAAAGTTCCTATGGTGCAGCTTCTGGCGAATATCCAGCACCTGGAACTAGGTTGCCAATTCAATCAAACCTTTGAGAAGGCGCGCGGCTTTGGAAGCTGATGTTTTTCATGAAATTTGGATGATGAATGATATTTTTCATGATTTCGGATGATCTTTTGCATATGATGAATGTGGATTTTTCATGATATGGGCCGTTTAAAAAAAGGTCGCTGCTCACTCGCTGCGGTTGATCTGGGTCAAATGGGAAAGTCGTGTCCATGGTGAACCTCATGGTGAACCTAATGGTGTCATCGTTTGGATGTACTGTATATTCCCTTTTACAAGGGCGTAGTTTTGATTCATTGTCATGAGTTTTTTTTAATGATATCGGCTGATATTTGATGAGATCGATTTGAGCAGATCTGAAGCATTAGACATGATGAGACACGATGGAAGCTGGGAACAAAAACAAGAGGAAACAACAAACAAAATGCGATCGAATTCACGAGAAATGGGGTCCCTTCCCAAACCTTTCAGAATGTCACAGCAGAAGCATGGAGAATTGACCAAAATTGTGAATTCTTGACTCAGGGGGCAGTGATGTTGATGACGTTGACGGGATTGGAAAAGGAATGGGCACAGACCGCTCCCAATTCTTTTGTTGGTAGAGAAACAGTATCTGGGGATAAGACCCAACTGCATATTACAAAACCAAGATATCCGAAAGCAAAGACCAACCTTTTTATCGGTTCATCCTTTGAATCGTATGTATCAACAAAAACAGGCTTTTGGCTACGGACTGTGGGATGAACAACCCCATCCGGCTGCATCACATGGGATATTTTGGGAAACCATCTGGTAAACATACACAAAACGATGGAACATCACCATTTTTAATGGGTAAATCTGTTACAAATTACCAGAGGGTAGAACATGATAGAAGCATAATGAAAAGAACATCCATTTCCAGGTTGCCCGGAGATAGGCACACCCGGCAGGTGAGATTCCCAGAGAATCTTCGGCACTTAGTTTTCGGCGCTCTGGCAGCAGGCTGCATCCAGGTGAGCGACCACCACACCTCAATGAATGAAAATGATGGGTTACTAAGGGCGAAAACCAGCAATTTGATGGCCTGAAACCAGCTTCGTTTGATGTTGGATTGTACAATTTGATGGATCGGACCCCCAACCGAGATCAACCGAGCATTTGGAAAAATGATGAAAACCCTCGCACTGGTCAGTGCTAAATAGTTGCGATGATGATCTAATCTGACTTTCATATTTTTCAGGGGGGTAGGTATACCACCAACCGGGTAAAAAAAAGGGGATTCGAATTCCCATCTTTGGACCATAAATTGGAACTCTTTCTGTATGTTTTCAGCATTCTGATGGGATCCGGATGGGATGCTAAATCTCATCCCTTTCTGCTGCCTGAAGCTGCCAAGGTCGAGATTTTAATAAACCCCTCGCTACTTTGAAGTGGCCGAAGGCCTTGATTTCTTTATCTTTTGGACGGGATTTTAATCAGATCCTCGGCTGAAATAGTTGGCACAGACAAGCTGAAATATGCCATATTTAAATCACATATATATAAATCATATCTAAATCATATATAAATCACACATATATATATATATAAATCATATATAAATCATATATAAATCATATATAAATCATATATAAATCATATATAAATCATATATAAATCATATATAAATCATATATAAATCATATATAAATCATATATAAATCATATATAAATCATATATAAATCATATATAAATCATATATATATATCATATATAGATCATACATACATACATACATACATTACGTTACATTCCGTTACATTCCGTTACATTCCGTTACATTCCGTTACATTCCGTTACATTCCGTTACATTACGTTACATTACGTTACATTACGTTACATTACGTTACATTACGTTACATTACGTTACATTATGTTACATTACGTAACATAACATAACATAACATAACATTGCCATACATTACCATACATTACCATACCATACATTACATGCATACATGCATACATGCATACATGCATACATGCATACATGCATACATGCATACATGCATACATGCATACATGCATACATGCATACATGCATACATGCATACATGCATACATGCATACATGCATACATGCATCCATGCATCCATGCATCCATGCATCCATGCATCCATGCATCCATGCATCCATGCATCCATGCATCCATGCATCCATGCATCCATGCATGCATCCATGCATCCATGCATCCATGCATCCATGCATCCATGCATCCATGCATCCATGCATCCATGCATCATGCATGCATCCATGCATCCATGCATCCATGCATCCATGCATCCATGCATCCATGCATCCATGCATCCATGCATACATGCATCCATGCATACATGCATCCATGCATACATGCATCCATGCATACATGCATACATGCATACATGCATCCATGCATCCATCCATCCATCCATCCATCCATCCATCCATCCATACATACATACATACATACATACATGTATATAATTATATATATATATAGATATAGATATACATATTTGATGGGGAGACGTGCACTTAAATGTCCAAAAATGTTTTTCCCCAAGAACCACAGCTTCATCATGTTCCCAAATGGCATGGTGTTTTTTTAGGCACAGAAAATCCCACTTTTCATCTCCTTTTTTGGGGATGGAAACCTTCGAGCAGGAAATCCACCAGTGTTGTGTTGGGGAAACCAAGGTGCTGAAATCCAATGTGGGTAAGCTTAGTAACAAAAGCCAGATTTACAAGGCTTGCAACTGAAACCAGCAGAACTACCATGGCTTGAACTGTGAATGTTGAGGAAGTTGGATGTGGCTTTGCCGCCGACTTTAGAGAAGCTGACGTTTGGGCTGAAGTTCAACCAAAGCTTGGAAGGTGGCGAACTGGGGAACTGGGACTGGGATGCTGCCACACTGCAACACACCTTTTTTTCTTGGCTTTATTAAATCAACTATGGACATACACGATATGCATGGATGTACATTTGCAAGATCTTACCATCAGTTTACATTTTTATTGATGCACATGGTCCAGGACTACCAAAACCAGGATGATCTGTAGGGGACTTCGTCCCAAAATCTATTTCATTGTGGGTAACATTTGTCCAGAAACAGAAGGGGCCCGGTGGGCCCCTGGTTGATGCTCGAATGTGGCTCCATAGAACCCAAGGTAATGCCCTTTTTGGAGATCTCAGAAATCTGAAGTTAGATGAGTGTGGAATAACCGGTAGCCATATGTGATGATATAGCAACCCCGAAAGGATGAAAGTGGAATTCCTGGCAAAATAGTTTTTTACATGTTTTTCAGCTTTTCCATTTTTTTTTTTGGAGGGGGGAACATCTTTCCACCAGTTAGATCGTCATCAACGGGGCCCACGCCCCGGGGAGGTCTGGAGTTTCCAGCGAGTCTCAAAACTCTCACGCTGGGAGCGCACTTCGATCAGCGTCGCCGGTCACGGAAGATTTTGATGGCTTTGATTCATTTGGGGGTGGGTCAAAACCTATTATTATCAATTCTAATGGGATGAACATCCATTTACCAGCTATTTTGGGGTTCACTAGGTGCCAGGGTTTTGACCAATAGCCATTTTTAATGGGATTTTGAACATTTTTTTAATTTTTGATTGTTGTAAACATGGGGGATGTTAACGGAAAGAGATGGATCTATTGAAGCTACGTAAGATATCTTAATATCCAAAAGGGGATGTTTCATTAGGGAATTGCTCAGCACTGGGAGAAGCATCTTGTGAGGTCCACTTTTGGCATCAAAGCCGCTTAGGAGGGCTACGGCGATTGTTTAAATACCCTGGTAACTTGTGCAAATCTCTTGTTTGTTTTAGTTTTAGCTTGTTTTCTTGAGTTTATAACAGACTTTGCACGAAATAAGAACAAGGCACAAATGGCTTTTTGCCATATTCCAAAATTACATCATTGGGTAATTTGGCACGAAATCCCATGCTTCGCGGCTTCGTGTATGATGCCAAGCCCAGGCTTCGATGCCGTGGCTTTGCCAGCAAACCTGCAGAAATTGACCTTCGGAGAACATTTCAACCAATCGATTCTTGGTGATCTTGGTATATCTTGGTCTGGGTTGAAGCACTGGTCCAATCAGGTCCATGGTGATCCCTTGGGATCAAAGTTCAATGTGGAGCGCCACAAGGGTTACTGGATGTTACTGGCATTACATTTGCCAGTGAACATCGACTGTTTTTTTGGATCTTTTTATGGCTAAACCCACCATGAGTATAGTTTATTTCCACAGCTATAAACCTCCATTGAGTTCGAGGATTTCCCATCGGTGATATCCCCGATGTACTGTAGCTGGTTAAAATCACCAAGAAACCCCAGTTTAGTTGGTCAAAATCACCAAGAAACCCGATATTTTCAATGATTTTGATACATTTTTGATACATATCCGTATCCACTTAATTCATCTATCCAGTGGTTAGGGAGCGGTGTGGAGCCAGAGTTTCTCAACTTTTCAGGCTCGCGAACAACCATTATTCTGGGTAAATTATAACGTTCAATCATGGTTAATAAGAGGAATCATCCCAAAATGGCCGCAAGATTCAGGTGAGTGACATATTATAATTTACTCAGAAAATTAATCCAGATTTATCCATATCCCCAATCTTCACCACATGATAGTCATAAGAGTCATAGTTTTATGTAAGAATACCCCATGAAGTTTGTTAAAACATGTTAAAAGCTAGTTCACCCGATTTTGAGAGAGAACTCGCAGAGTATCCATTGAGTCATAGAGTCATAGAGTCTTCCCAGTCTTCCAGTCATCTTACTGCAGGGTTTTCCCAGCGTTTTTCCCCGATTTTTTTTGTGTCACGAGGATGGATGGAGCGACTCTACCTGAGAATCTGGAGGTCCTCACGTTGGGAGAGTGTGACTGGGACAGTCGACTCCGCCGTGGCGATCCATGGATTTCAATGGATTTCATGGGATGACTATGTCAATGGATTGGTTTTGTTGGGAAAATCTGAACCGGTTTTACCATAGATTTTCCCATGAAATATGGGGCTTTCCGGTTCCAATTTTCCCATCATCCAGTCCATTGACTATGGGATGATACCCGGCCTGGTAAACATACAAAAAACTATGGAAAATCACCATTTTCAATGGGTACATCCACGAACTAAATCACCATTTTCAATAGCTTTTTGTATGTTTACCAAGTCGGGTACCCTTTGCTGGGCCAAAACAAAACTGGACAAACTGGAGGCTTCGTTCGCTGGGAACATTCTCGAAGTATATAAATGGGGGATTTGCCAGCCAAGTTGGATGAAACGGGAGGACATTTCTCTGCCAGAAATATGATCATCTGCCAAATGGATGTGGGTCAAAATGGAAGACCATTAATGGGACCACTTTTTTCTTAGTCTAGTTTAGTATTAACCATCCAATTATTGGGGTACCTAATTTTGACCCATACCCAAATGATAATTGCCAAATATAAGGTCCCAGATTATGTGCCAGACTAATCTGCCAGACAAGGAAAAAAATGATTTCTAGTCTGCCAAGAGATCTTTCCTTAATTGGAGCAGAGGGTCCCCAAGATCCACCAGAACAGAAAATGTTGTTCTCGGCACCAAAAGCCCACTTCGCAACCGTGTTTGGGACGTCCGTTCGGTTTTTCTCCTTATCACCAGGTTGTAGTCCCGTTCAGTCAGCTGCGCCCTGCTGGCTTCAAGGATTTGTGATTTTCCATCGGATGATGATTCGAAAGTCACCATTTGTCGTTATTCTTGTCCCTTTTTTTAAAGACAACGAAACCAAGTCTTTAAGTTCCAATTACCCTCTGGTAATTAAACGTAGCTATTGAAAATGGCCATAGAAATAGTTGATTTACCCATCAAAATCTTATTAAAAATGGTGATTTTCCATAGTTATGTAAACGTTTACCAGAGGGTAAACCTCCATTTTCCTATGGTTTTCCTATGGTTTTCCCATTAAAACCTCCATCTGTTTCCATGAACCCATCCCCCACGGCTCCCCACGGCTCCCACTGGTCCGAAAGCTCCGGGCGAGCTCCGAGGCTTTAATCAGGCCCTGGACAACTGTGCGTTGCCCAGGAATCTCCAGGAATTGTGCCGTGGCGACGGGGATGTCTTAGACTGGGACATCTTGGGGGATTTCAGGCGATTGAATTTCATGGGAATATGAGTGGGATTTAATGGATATATAATGATATATATATATATATAATGATATATACTATATATACAGTATATATATATAAATGGAATAATATACTGAGATAGTCAAACCTGGCGTACTTTTGCACATCCCCCATATGGGTCGATGATTTTGAAATGAAAACACCTCCATGGCCAGTTCGGGGATTTGCACTGCCATGTTTGATTACCAGAGGGTAAATCTACCCTCTGGTTATTTAACATAGCCATGGGAAATGGCCCATTTATAGATGGTTTTCCCATTAAAACCTCCATTTATAAGGGAGTTTCCATGGCTATGTCAAATAACCAGATGGTATGTCTAAGGTGTATTTTTTTGACCTTTGGGTGGGGTACTCAAAAAGAGGGTTTGGATGGGTTGCTGTAAATCTTTACTCTCCATAGCCATTCTGGTGGAGGAACAATTATCATATCCAGCTGACACATTTTTTTGTCTATCCAAAGTTAGCAATGTTACAATCTGTTGGAACCAATATATAAAGTTACATGAGGTCACCAATGATTCGCGAAACCAAAGATATCATGGGCAGATGACCTCTCGACCTCACGAAAAAACGGATTGATGTCTTCCAACAGGGTGGAATCGCTGAACTTCCATGGAGGGAATGATCAGAGTTCCATCCCGAAATAGATAGAACCATAGGGTTTATGCATAAATTACTGGGCAAGACTCCGAAGTATCCCCAAAAAAAATGCTAGTACCGGAACTCCATGGACCTCCACTATGATGGGTCCCTGGGTCCAGTTTCTCCCTCAAATCCAAAACCGCGAAGAAAGGCGACTCGGCCCAGGAACTTCGGTGTATATTTTCAGCAAAGCTTAGACAACACTGCGCTTCCAGACACTTGGGCTATCATGGGCTCGACGGACCATTTTTTTGGGGTCTGAAGATGTTGAAAAAACAGCCCTTAAATTTGATGTGTTTTCTCAGCGAACGCGACAATGGGTGCAAAAAAATGGGCAAGTTGACTTACGCAGCATTTTCAGACACACCCTGTGGCGTGACGAGCTAATATGTTTCCAGAAGTTTCAACCACAAATCAGAGGGGCATGGCGAATGGCGAAGACAGGAAATGCCGCTGTTTTGCTATCAAACAATGAATACCCTCTGGTAAACTAACAGTTCGCTATGGAAAGATCCACCATTTTCAATGGGTAAATCCACTATTTCTATGGCCATGGCTTCAATAGCTATTTTGACATAACCAGAGGGTACACCCAAAAAAATCACCCAACTGTTCATTTTTTTCCATGTTTTTTCGATCGTTCCATAGGAGAACTTGGGATTCAACCAACAGTGGAGATCTGAAAACACCATGGTTGGCGCGGCGAGGTCGGGATAGGGAATCACCCACCATGTCAATTGCTGAAGGTATCCATCCTCAACTGGAGTGCATTGGCTAAAGCTCTAGTCATGGGACGATTTCTACTAACTGTAGAGTCTCATGGACTTCCATAGCTCAATTTACCGGAGGGTGTGCTGCAGTTGTTTGTTTCACCTTAACGCAATCCATTGACAAACAAACCACCACACCGCAGATTTTGGCGTTGTGGTCTTGGAAATGAATAGATTCCAACCTTCAATCATTTTTGTTCACTCGAAGGACTTAAAATTGCAGTGTACATGACGCTCCTCGAGGTTGCTTTTGACCATTTGATTGAACAGCAAAAACTCACTCGACGATATCATCAATACACATGAATATATACACGTATATGAATATATATATATATATACACGTGATTATACGTGTATGTATGTATATATATACATATACGTATATATATATATATATGCACGTATATACATATGTATATGCATATATATATATATATATATGCAAGTATGAATAATGTTATAGATATGTATGTATGTACATATATTATCTTTGATTGCTTGACCCCAGCGCTTCATCGTGGCTTCTCTGCGAACAACGCCGAGGCCACGCTGAAGACGTTGACCTTTGGTCATGGCTTCAATCGCAGTTTGGAGAAGACCAAACTTCCGGACAGCCTTGAAGTGATGTCGCTGGGTCGTTGGCCGGTCCCGTGGAGGTTGGAAACATATTGTTATTATTATTATTAATATTATTATCATTACTACTATTATTATTGTTGTTGTTGTTATTATTAATTATTATTATTATTATATATACATATATATATATATATGCGCACGTATATACATATATGGGGTTCGATGATGCAAATGGGGATGATCTACAACATGGTTGTTCCTTAGGTTGTAAATTGATTTAGATCGAAATGGGACCCCACCAGCCAGGCACCAGGGGTAATGGGATGATGATGGACGGCTTGAAGCCGGTGAAATCTCCGGATAGTTTGCGAAACGAGAAGATGTGTGCCAACTGGACAATCATCATTTTTTTGTAGGAACATCAAAAATCCTGTGATCGATTTTTCCATAGCACAGTGTCAAATCATTGTCTTCTGCATTGCCAGATTTGATTGCCACAAAAAATAGATGGGCCAGATAGGGATATGTGTATATACATATATTAAACATATATATATATATATATATTGACAACATACTGTATTGTATGTATATATATATATATAAATGGATGTATAATGGGATAGTAATATACGATAATATGGGAAAATATCTGGATAAATTCTACTGACCTCACATCGACCTCACTGGAATCATGGTGAACCAGGTGAAGGCCCAAACAATGGCCAATATGGAGTTTATAACAGGGTTTATGGGAAATGCAACTACATTGAATGGGTGTATAAACCAACTTAAAACTGGGGGGGTGCCTCACCTTGTACCCTCTGGTAATTTAAACGTTTGCGAACTGGAAAATGGACCATTTGGTCGAATGATTTACCTGGTGGATATGGTGATGTTCCATAGCAACCTGTTCAAGGACCGGGTCAGTATCGCTTAATGCCATGATTGTTTTAAAGTGAAGTCATCCAAACACCGGCGATATCACCCAGAGTTTTCTGACCCTTTTAAACGAGATTGCTCCAGTCGCTAGCAACGTGGCTACCCCGAAAATCGCGCTGGACCAAAAAGTTTTTTGGACCTCAGTGGATCATGCCGATACCAAGGGAAGTGGCTTCTTAGCTCAATGGCCATGACGAAAAGGAACCGATTTATTGGAGGTACCGATTCCATATATGTTTGGCCTATATATATCAGGCCTAAATTTCAGGGAATATCGAAAATATGGCCTGAAAAATGGTACAGTACCTCCATGTATTGGATCCTGAAATTCCCATTAGCTACTGCTCAGAGGTCTCTCTGAGAACATCCAAGGTTCTGTGGATAGGCTGGGCCCCACCATTGGGGAGTTCATGAAGCCTCAGCTAACCCAAGCGGTGAGATTTTTGTTTGTTCGTATCTCCATGTCTTGGGTTGCAATAAAATAGGTCAAATCCCAATGTCTTAGGATAATTTCTCTACTTTTTTGAAATCAGAATGTCCCAAGACCAAGGTCTTTTGGAGTCAATTTCAATCGATGCTTGGTGGACATTGCTGCTGGCACGTTCAGGGGTCACGGAATCGCTGGGTTTGTTACTGCGCGAACAACTTGGTGAATTTCAATCACTACAGTCACTACGGATGGGTTTCTAAACTCAACTGGCTGTCATTTTATGGGACGCCGCAATAACATCATGACCATCGGGAAAAGATGTGATTCATTTCGCCATTATATGATTTAAATTAATATCCCATTAGATCCCATTAAACATTGGGATTTAATGGGATTTTGCTGTTGGGTTAATCCATGACTCATCCCATCCAATGTGGTCATTTTCACGGAAACGGAGTTTTGTCATGATGAGTCCATCGCGTATTATCCAGACGGCTCCCATGATCTGTCCATGGCTCCAGAAACAGATGTGACGTTGCGCCATGAGTTTCGCCCATATTCCCACTGGGAATCATCGAATTTCTACAGATGTTGGGATGGAAAAGTCTTGTACCCTCTGGTAAACTAACATAACTATGGAACATCACCATTTTTAATGGGAAAAATCCACTATTTCTTGGTCATTTTCAATAGCTATGTGACAAATTACCAGAGGGTAAATCCTGAACGGAGCCCTGAAAAAAACGCTCGTCATAGGGAGATAATCGGAGATACTTGATCACCGCAAGGATGGATATTGAATGATATTGAATGATATTGACTATTCCCCAGTTGCCCTAGATTTTGTTGGTTGAAGGGACCATTTGCAGGACAGCATTTTTTTTTAAAACCATCAAACATGATCAAACATGTGTAACTTAGCATGTCTTGAATCATCCATTTTTCCTTCATCCAGATTTTTAAAAGAGTATTTCCCAATTTGTTCTTGAATGATCCATATTTTTCCAATGTTTACATCTTGCTCCCAACAAAAAAACACTAAAATCCCTTCCATTCTTAACTGGGTGGTGCCCTTTTTACAGTATAAGTTGGTTTAAAAAAATCCCCATGACAGAAAAGTTCTCGTTGGATCCGCCGAAGCCACCCTAAGTTAGCTATCTATGGGGCCCCCTATGGCCCCCTATGCCCCTTGGGGGACATTGAGGAAACGTGGATGATACGAAGCTGCCGAAGTCTCTGAAAATTCTAAGCTTCGGGCGCGACTTCAACCAGAAACTCGAGCGTCGCTTGGAGGTTTTTTTTCGCGCGGTGACGGAGAAGTGATGAAACATCCAGTGGGTACTTGGAGGATCATCGTTGCGAAGTGGTTAAGCCTAGTAAGTGGAGTCATAACTGGGATAAGCCTAGTTTTTTTTAGGACGTTACTAACCAGGGTTACTCAGTGACATTCAGATCATTCAGTGGGATGATCTATTCGCAGTTTTCCCATGGGGTACCTTTCTGGAAGCAGACATTTCATCGATTTTTCACGGTTCACGATCCATCTAAAAGGGCATTTATGGGGACGGTAATCACTTGAAGCTGTGGCCTAGAATTCACCTGGGTAGGGCTTCGACCATTGAAGGATGGACAAATGCAATCGGAGATGCAGAGAATCTAATGTGACACACCCCAGCTGAGCTTTGACTCCATGTTTTTTTTTGGGCTGTTTACCACTTACCAATCACTTCCTCCCAAAGAAAACGCTCCAAGCAATCAGCCTGGAAATGAAAGACTCACCCCTGAGATGTCCGCCACAGGTATTGTGGTCATCTCGTGGATGGTCAAACATCTCATTTTTGGGCGCCCAACCACAGACCTACACCATCCTACACCCGTATACAATCGCACATTTCTGTTTTTTACATGGAGGGTACGCAGTCAGGAAAGGCCAAAAGCATGCAGGCCCACAGCCCCAAAATGGGCCCGCGTCGCAGCGCAAAACCGAAGGAACGTTTCAAAAGGTGCAGGGATGCCCGAGCCGTTCTGTAGCATGCGAGGTTGAACCTTGACAGCCACAAGCAATGCAAAGACATTTGTACAGCCGGTGGCAATGTACAGGATCCTGGGCGCAACCCCCCGGCACCCCCAACATCAAAGTTGACTTACTTCCGCGCACGGCAAAACAATTTCAACAGGAAAGCAGCAAGACTGGCTTTTGTGAGTGGCATCGTTGATTCCGGGGGACCAGGTTTGCGTGGGCATATCTACATACATCACGCGGATGCAGCGTTAATTTCGCAATTCGCATTGGCTTGGTCGCAAAGCCATTAAGAACGCATTCGCAATTAAAAGCTACTAAGGACGATTTCGCAATCCGTATTTGCCCGACCGCAAAATTATTGTAAATACTAAGAAAATGTTCCAAAGCTTAAAAGAAAGAGTAGCCTCTTCTATTCTTCAAGTTTGAAAGAAATTCTCAATAGTTTTGCGTCCGAGCCATGTGATTTGCAATTCGTGCCTGACTAGTTTTTCATGAGCTCCTTAGTAGTTTTGCGTCCAAGCCATTGTGATTCGCAATTCATGCTCTAGTATTCTTTCGCGATATGGCATTGGGGTCGCCTTTTCTGAAAACCTAGGTGGGCCCAAGGCCCTAAAACCGGAGCCTCAAATAAGTAGTAAAGACGGCTTCTCGGGCATGCACCCTTGGAGTATCACGGATATGTGCTGCCGTCAGCTTGCATCGGCGGAAGCACACTTGCTGCCTGTATTGAATAGCTCCTGCATCTTTCATTCATGTTCTCTGCGCTTGGTGCCAAGATGCTAGTTTCACAGTATATATATATATATATAATATACATATATATATAATATGTGTGTATATATATATATATACACACGCATAGCACATGTATTCCAACTCTTGCTCCTTCAGCCTCCATACAAACTCCATGCCTTCAACCTCCATATGTGCCATGACGTTGGATTCTATACCCATGTTGGGGGATGGTCATACCACCATTAAAGGCGTTTTTTCCCCCCACTTGCTCTGCCCTACGCCTTGCCAAGTCGCCAAGCTCATAGCTCGCAGGGCCCTTGGGGCCCTGCTTGACCCATACACTACTGCAAATAAAATGCAGGAAAACATGTCAGATACAATGTTAGAATATATTTCAGATAAACTATGAGATAGACATGTCGGACATTGTTTCAGGTATTGAAAGCAAGATAGAATGCCAGATAAAATGTCAAATAGGATGTCAGGACGAATGTGTCAGATAGAATGTCAGATAAAATGCCAGGTAAATTGACAGAATCATAAATAAATAGATAAGTAAATAAGTAATTATATATATATATGAGAGAGAGAGGTCAGAATATGAGCCAGATAACGTGTAACATGCCAGAATATATGTCACATAGAATGCCAGGTGCAATGTCAGACAGGTTGTCAAGATATATGTCAGATAAAATGACAGATGGTGGGTATCACTCGAAGAAGTAGTTTCAGGATTTTCCACTTGATGGGGGGATCACCATAATCCACATATTTACTCATGTAATTCGACGAGGGCACTTGGTGGCTCATCCCGCTTAGCCGGTTATAAACCGCTTGCTAACTGGGGTGAACCATCAAACACACACATATTCATACATACATACGCACACATACATACATACATACATACATACATACATACATACATACATACATACATACATACATACATACATACATACATACATACATACATACATACATAATCATACATACATACATAATCATACATACATACATACATACATACATACATACATACATACATAACATACATACATACATACATACATACATACATACATACATACATACATACATACATACATACATACATACATACATACATACATACATACATACATACATACATACATACATACATACATACATACATACATACATACATACATACATACATACATACATACATACATACATACATACATACATACATACATACATACATACATACATACATACATACATACATACATACATACATACATACATACATACATACATACATACATACATACATACATACATACATACATACATACATACATACATACATACATACATACATACATACATACATACATACATACATACATACATACATACATACATACATACATACATACATACATACATACATACATACATACATACATAGATATATATACAGATACAGGTATAGATATTGTCTCAAACATCCAATTTTCGGAGTGCTGACTCGACTCACGCGTGAATTCAAACAACAGGCGCTGGGCCCGCGTGCTGAGGAGTGAAATTGCCTCCAGATCTGCGGGAATTGAAATTGGGCCATGGTTTTAATCGTCTCTTGGTGACGAGGGACGTGTGTGTTCTTTTAAAGGAAGTCTTGAAATTTACATATGATCACATATTTACAGCTACATTTGTATGCATATCTATATTTATGTCTAAATTTAATTCTAAATCTATCTATATCTGTTTATGTATCTATAATCTATATCTTTATTTATATCAATCTACATGGAAATATATATATATACATTATTTAATTTGGTGTTTCAATGATTCACTTCTTCATTTTCCAACGTAAACCTTCTTGCTGTTTGACCCAACCATAGACGGGGTAGATCGTTGGCTATGCCACAGGTCACAGACCCGGAACCAAGGAGTCTTAGACTTTCCCAACATGATAATGAATTGAGATATCAAACATGATCAAAACATGATGAAACACAGAATATTCCCATGATATTCCCATGATATCCCCATTCTCATTGGTCTTTGATCGTTTTTTCTGACCAACCTTGCCTGTGACCCTCCGAGGTCCCCTGGAAACGGTGAAGTTGCCCTCCTCCTTAGAACGCCTCACGTTGGGTGAACAGTTTAGCCAAAGTTTGGAAGCAGTGAACTTCCCAAGCCTCTCAGCCGCGAATGGGTGGTTTGGGCTTGACAATCTGAAAGACGTTCAATGCCAAAGGGAAATTCCCTCTCAAAATGGAGGCTTTCTGCTGTAGTTTTTTTCTCTTTGAAGGTAAGAAAAAATAGAGATCTGTGAATTTGCTGGACATATGTTGATTGAAAAAGGTAGGGAAAATGGTAGCACCATGGGGGTCCCTTAAAGTATTCTGACAACAGTTAAATTATCCTCAAGAGCCGACCTCAGCGTAGAAAAGGGCATTTTCACTGTGACAATGGCAAGTTTGGGGGAGTAAAGTCATCATTGTCAGATGGAACATATTGTTGCTTATACAGTTATACAGTTATACACTTATACATCAAATGATGTTCCCAGTGTATCCCCATGATATCCCATTTACCAGCCGTTTTTTTTTTAAACCAGGATAGCATGCTGCCATGACCCATGGACTATCTCTGTCCGGAGCGCAGTCCAACTCCGCTGTTTTTTTTGTTGAGTATCCTCCATTCCGTGACACCCAATTTCATCGCAGTTGAGTCTCCAAAACTTGCTGATTGAAATCATCATCCCCAAAAATTTGAGAAATCCAAATTTCGTTATAACTCGTTATAGCGTTTCTCAAATTTGTTGAAAATGATGGAAATCCTACTAATTAAAGCCACATTTTTTCGTTTCAAACGATTTGGTGTCGCCCTGCCATCCACTATCCATTGATTCGCCGAGGCAGTCTGAAAGTACTGAAGTTGATGGGAATTCACTGGCCAAACCTTGACGGGGCGGTGCCATGGCCTCGCAAAAAGAAGCGGTTTGGAGCGGGGTGTCTCTGTTTGAGGTTTCCATAGTCATGGAGGTACCCCTTTATCGCTGGATGGTTTACAATGGAACATCCCAATGTCAAATGGATGAGAACTGGGGGTAGGCCTATGACTTAGGACACCTTCATCTGGTTGGTGGTTTCAAACATGATTTTTATTTTCCATTTCATGTATGGGATAATCCCAACCCCATTGACGAACTCATATTTTTCAAGATGGTTAGTTTACCACCAACCAGTATGATCATATATCCCATCATTAATCACCATATATAACCATATATAACCACTATTATTGGTATTATAACCACTATTATTATATATATACATTTATTGAAACCACCAGCCAGTCATATATTCTTTGGTAAACTTAGCTCATGGAGCCTTCGGGCTCGGACGAGATTTCCAGGGTCAATTTTAGTGGGCCAGATGGGAGGTCCCGTGAAGCACAACTGTCCCACGAAAATTCACCAGGACCTAAAGCAGCACCAGAAATTGAAGGATGTTTTTTTTGAACAATCTTCAAGTATAACCCAAGATAATATATGTATCAGCCTTTTATAAACCATAAAGATCATTTTTTGTTGGGGGATTTCCTAAAAGAAACATTGACCAACATTGACCAACGATCACCCTGACTTGTGCGCTGGTGCGCCCTGCGAGCAGCGCCGTCTCTCCAAGGATCTGCCTGCCCTGGATGAATTGCAGTGCAGAGGGATTACTGTCAGCCATTCTGACACCTGAGACCATAGATGTCCAAATGGGCTAGCCACATGACTTAGGAAACCTCTATATACTATATATATACACACTATATTACTATATATATATACACACTATATATATACACTATATATATATATCTACACTATATATATATATGCATATATATATATATGTATATATACACTAACCAGCAAGAACTTGATGTTTTTGCAGTCCATCTAAGATTGGCATGTCCTTTGCCCATTGGTTGGTTGATGAAAATAGAGGGGTTTGAACGTTTACCCCTTTAACAACCTATAGATGATGATAGATGGGATTAACCAGCTCCCGGCCCCTCTATTTTTACCAACAGGTCATTATTGCCTGAGACACTATTTTTAATGCTCCAAGTTGCGGTCCATGTCGAGTATGTGGGATGAAAGAGAGCGATTTTTTCATGGTGATGTGTCCCATTATTAATACAAAAAAAATCATGTACATATCTAATAGTTAGATCATATAATGTAAAATCTAGATATGTAGTCCATTTCATAGACACATCCATCTTGTTCCAAGGCATTTAAGATTTATGCGATCTGCCATTTCCAAGTGATTTTTCGGGACTTCAAAATTGGACAGCAACGAACCACGCTCCGATCGTCACCGTCACCTCCGCGGAACCGCGGAAGAAACGGCGGGTGACTGCGGGGAAGGGACAGCCCTGGGTTAAGCTCGGTCAATGATAGGGAAAAATTGGGTTGACTTTGAGGATCACGGATAGTATAATTTGGTATTAGTATAAACTACTAGTAGCAACTTTGTTTGGCATATCGAAGATATGTCTAAAATTCCCGAAAGCTTCCAAAAGCTTTTTTGCCCAGGGTTGGCAGTGTAAAGGCACTGCAGGAAAAAAAACAAATGATCTTGGTGCATGTTGTGCCAGATTTTCGAAGCCTTCTTCGAGCGGCGTGATCAAAACATCGAGCGAATGGATGTGCTGCGCTCGCGCTGGTTGCATCCATAGGTGCCACGGTGAGTCATCGATGATCAAAATTAGGGTAAATTGCGCATATTAGGGGATGGTCATCAAGCCGTTTATAAAGATTCATCGAAGGAAGTTTAGAAGTCAAACTTCCGACAATGTGGACAGATGAAAAGCAGAGATGGAAAGGGTCAGAGAGAAGAGAAGAGTAGAAGAGAGAAGATCAGAGAAGAGAAAGGGTCAGAAGAAAGAAGACGCAGATGCGCGAAAAGGTAGGAAAGTCGCAAAACAATGTGTTTTTCCACTGATTTGTGGCTCCGGAGGGTCGAAAAGTAGGCTCGCTAAAGCAGCGGTTGCGGAGCCATCTGACCAGATGAGAGATGAAAAAGTGCACGCCGTTGTGGCGCGAAGCACATTTCGAAGTCAAAATGCACAAAGCACACCAGCTCCGGACCACTTTTGGAAGTTGAGATGTCGAAAAAGTACACGCCGTTGTGGCGCGAAGCACATTTCGAAGTCAAAATGTACAAAGCACACCATGTTCAGACCACTTTTGGAAGTTGAGATGTCGAAAAAGTGCACGCCGTTCTGGCGCGAAGCACATGTGTAACTGAAAAAGCTAAAAGCACCTCACGTTCGGACCACTTTTGGAAGTTGAGATGTCGAAAAAGTGCACGCCGTTGTGGCGCGAAGCACATTTGTAACTGAAAAAGCTAAAAACACTTCACGTTCGGACCACTTTTGGAAGTTGAGATGTCGAAAAAGTGCACGCTGTTGTGGCGCGAAGCACATGTCGAAGTCAAAAGTGCAAAAAACTGACGGGTACGGAGCACTTTGGACGTTCAGATGTGCTTTCGCGTGGCAGGCGCAAGGGATTGCGCACCTTCTCAAAAGTGAGCAAAACGTGAGGGACTTGTAGCATTTCCAAAAACGATGGCAGGCGTGGGACACTTGAAGAGGATCTGCAAAGATGCATTTCGCGTGGCAGGCGCAGTACAAAAGACATGTTCATCAGAGATGTTAGGAGGTCAGGGCGCTGATTTCCTGAGAGGGGTTGCATTTTGGAGCATCAGATCTGTAGGTTTGCTAGGATGATTTTGCGTGACAGGTGCAGCACTTCGTATGACCTGGCATCAATTTTTCGTGGCAGGCGCAGTACTTTAGACAGGTGGAGTGAAAAAATCGCAAAACGCATTGGTACGAGGCCGTCAGCGCTGCACTCAACTAATTACTTTGTTTTTGAAGTTGTCAAGTTCAAAAATTGAATAAGTCTCGCAGAATTGCTAACGTTTTGGATGTTGTCTAGTTCAAAAAATGAAGAAGTGTCGCAGAATTGCTTCGTTTTTGATATTGTCAACTTCGAAAAATGAGGAAGTCTGGCAGAATTGCTTCATTTTTGATGTTCAACTTTGAAAAATGAGGAAGTCACGCAGAATTGCTGCGTTTTTGATGTTGTCAACTTTGAAAAATGAAGAAGTCTCACAAAATAGCTAGGTTTTCAAGCTTGCAGATAGACAGGTAGATAGATAGATAGATAGGTAGGTAGGTAGGTAGCTAGATAGCTAGATAGCTAGATAGCTAGATAGCTAGATAGCTAGATACACAGTTAGATAGACAGATGAGATAGATAGATAGATAGATAGTTAGATAGATGGATGGATAGATAGATAGATAGCTAGCTAGATGGATAGATAGATAGACAGCTAGCTAGCTAGCTAGATAGATAGATAGATAGATAGATAGATAGATGGGTAGGTAGGTAGGTAGGTAGATAATCAGAGAAAGAGAGAGAAAGAGAGAGAAAGAGAGAGAAAGGGAGAGAAAGAGAGAGAAAGAGAGAGAAAGAGAGAGAAAGAGAGAGAAAGAGAGAGAAAGAGAGAGAAAGAGTGAGAGAGATCAATCACCATTCGATCCATCAGTGGCTTCGCTCTGCCATCCCTGATTCACAACAACCAACCTCTCCTATAGGCTTTCTTTTTTTGAAACTTCCGCCGCCGCCTTGTGCGGTACTACTGGTATATAATTATTCGTGCTAAGGATTCCTATTATGGAATGGATATTGAAAAAGGCCATGTACCATGTTTAAGCCACCGCACATATATCAATGGATTGATTTTCTGGGACTATTTGAAGGACACACTGCTGAAATCACCCCACATTTTTCGGGGTATCCTGCAGTGATTTGTCCAGCTGGTGTATTGCGATGGTTCAAGATATCTTCGCCCATCCACGAAGAACATGGAGAATCATCTACATATTCACACCGGGGAGATCGTCTCTACATGTTTTTGTCTGAAAATTTAGGGGAAATCCTTCAAACTTTGGTAGAAAACACATAATGCTGTTTTTTTCGCATATTTTTCTTGACCAATTTTCAGTCAGAGTCATAACCATGTTTCAGGATGCTCATACAACCGGATAGATAAGGAGATGCGCCAAAAACCAGAAAAATGGTGACTCCGGTGGGATATTTCTGGGGGTCAACATGTCGAAGCTAGGGCACAGATTTCGTGGTCGATATGCATCATTTTTTGGGTACCTCAAGTCTGACCCATATCTGTTGAAATTGTTGCAACCAGGGCATGAGACCTTCGATACAGATTTGCATTCTGCAAATGAGTGAGGTTTAAAACATGCCCAAATGAAGTGTTGGCTTAACCACATTGCAACCGTATGTCATGGGTGTTTTCTAAGGCGTTTTTTTTTTCAATCAAACATATTTGGAACGTTTCATGATATCCAGCAAACAAAAATATTCACATCGGAATCGAAGCACCGATGGCAGCTACTGCCCAATTTGGTTGCCATCACCGGGCCATGCCATATAATAGAACCACTACTGCAGAGGTTAAACTCATTTGTGTTTCTCAAAAAACATACAATAATATAGTATATATAATATATCCCCATTTCTGCTGATTTAAAATTCATGAAACTCCATTGACACCCCGTTCTTGTTGCTCAAATCCAATGAAAAATCGGAGTTCTTTCAGATTGAATTCCCCAAGGAGTTCAAACAATGAAATCTGTTCAAATCCATGAAACGTCCATTAAATGAAACCCATCTGACCCAACTACACCACTGTGCTTCAGCAAGTGTCGAAGTGGGTACAGGTCTTGAGAGCTGTGAAGGGCATTAAAGGCTGTGACGAAGAGAGCTTCTTAGAGGTGCAGCCAGCAATGGGTAGCTGAGAATGACGCATGTAACAGGGATATATTATCTGGGGAGATATGCTGGGATGTCTAACCTTTTCGGACTGTATGGGATATCTAACCATTTGAGGATTTTATGGGATATCCCAGCTTTCTGGCAATGGGGATATGAATTCGGGATTTAGAATGGGATATCAAACCATATGATGGGGGTATAATGGGATAGAATGGTGGGATATGATGGGATTCATGGTGATTTTAACCCACAAAACTAGCAATATAATGGTATAATTATATTTAATTTGAGATGATTTGGATGTAGCTGTAGCTAATACAGATATACTATAAACATTTGGAGACAAAACATTGTTAACTTAGTTGGCGCTTTCAAGCTCCGTCATCCAAGGATGACCAAAGTGGGAACATCACCCATAAATGGTATCATCTGGAACCTTGAAACCCATGAATGGTTCAGTTTAAATCACTACCAAAAAGGGTAATGATGTTCCCATTACAACCAGAATTTACATGCGTTCAAAAGCCTTTTTGGAAGCTTTTTCCAAACTGCATCAGCGATTCATTTTCAGTGTGAAAAAAGCCTCTCTTGGTTGATGATTGGTTCAGGGCAAATCATCATCATCATCATCATCATCATCATCATCATCATCATGGTTGAGTATCAAAATAATAATAATAATAATCATAATAATAATAATCATCATCATCATCACCAGCATCATCATCATCATCATCATCATCACCATCATCATCATCATCATCATCATCATCATGATAATTCACTATCAAAAAGACTGGGGATTATCATCGAATCATCTGCCAATCTGCCCGGCAGGAATTCCTATGAACCAACCAATATCAGGGAATGACATTTTGGGTCAAATGACCCAAACCCCATGAGGTTCAGGGTTTAGACCCCAAAATAGAACCGATGAAACAACGACTCTTTATTTAAACAGATGTTAGACATATATATATATACGTATATACATATATATGCAATTGTATTAATTGTATAACAAATGGTCAATCTTCGGATTGGGATTGTTTTTTCATGTCATCACTGATAGCTTATGCTTTTGGCTTTGCCACATATATATTTCTTCCCCAGCGTCTCACATTTATTCTTGGCTTTACCACACTTTATTTGGCTTGTGACCCGTGGTTAATTATTCATTGGTTGCGTGGGAATTGTTCACGGTCTTTGTCCCAAGCTTTGAATCAAAATTGCGCAGATTCTTGCATGAACCAATACCAGAATCTTCATCAATAAAACTCCTCAGACCTACAATAGACTCCATTTTTTTCATGCTGAAAATCCCAGAAAAGTTCCATTTCTTGCTGCTAAAACCACCCAGAAATTTATCGCGGAACCATTTTCACGCCGTTTCAACGGCGCCGGGAATCAGTGGAGGCCTTGAAAGCCTTGGAGGTGGCGTTGATGGAACAGTTTCCACTCACAGGACCTGGGAATCTGTAGGGATTTCAGTGCTTTATTCTCAACACGAACTGAAGGGACTTCAGTGTAGGGTTTTTTCCCGGATTTTGAGAAATCCCAATTTCTTGCCTGGAAAGTTATTTCTCCTCAAGAGCTGTTCTTCCGTGGGTGTATCCCATAGTCATCCCATGAATATCCCATAATCAGCTATAATCATCCTATGAATATTCCATTAGCAATCAATGATAATCAAGAATAGCCAGATATTATCCCATAACTGGTTGGTGGTGAGTGGAACCATGGAATGGATTATGACTTTCCATTCAGTTGGGAATTTGATTCATCATCCCAACTGACGAACTCATATTTTTTCAGAGGGGTAGGTATACCACCAACCAGATAATGTGGGGATATCAGTCTATCATGGGAGGAATATGAGTTATTGTTAGTGATGTATATATATATATATCACTGGATAGGAATAATGTTAGGATATAACTGATATCATGGGGATATCGGATATGGGGCTATGATGGGATATCACCAACTTCTACCAACATCATTTTTGTTGGTTGATGTTGCTTGTGTCTGAAGATAGGGAATCATTACCCCATTACATATTTTGTTCTGGTGAACATGATGATTAACCACTGGGGAGCACGGGGTATAGGGGCAAATCTGCGCAGAAACCTACCCTCTGTTAACTTAACATAGCTATTGAACATGGCCCAGTCGAAATAGTTGATTTACCCACTAAAAATGGTGATTTTCAACAGCTATGTAAACGTTTACCAGAGGGTTTTTATGCATTTTCACAAATATCACAAATGCATGGAGAATACAACTGGAACTTGAGAAATTTCATTTGAACTACCCTCTGGTAAACTTTCACATAACCATGGAAAATCACCATGTTTCATGGGAAAATTCACTATTTCTATGGTGATTTTCCATAGTTATTTTGACAGTTTACCAGAGGGTATGTGATCAACCTATGGTTTTCCTTCAGGCCCTGATGTGGAACTTTTTCACGATGTGGACCTGACGGGATCCCATTTTTTTGGATCTTTGAGGGGACTTGGCAATAGGTGAATCGTGAAAACCCCCATGGGATATATATATATATATGTTTTTCAGGAGTTGATGCCATTTTCCGTAAATCATTTTTGGCGCAACTTCATCAAGAAACTTGATGAAGATCTGTTCATTTATGGATGATTTACATATATTTACGTATATTTACCTAGTACACATGGTGATTTTCCATAGCTATGTTGAATAACCATTGGGTACTACGGTGGATGGGCCAGCGAAATCCGAATCAGCAGTTGAAAACGGTGGTAAACATCCCATTATTTATGGGGTGTCAACCATCCAAGAAGAAATCCGCAGTATCACCCCGTAATGTCTCCATTCTCATCCGAGACGTCCGCGGACGTCTCGTCGCGAGGAGAGTTGGAAGGTGAATTCCAAGAGGAAGCGAAGCTGGCGGTGGAGGTGGGATTTTGTGTGGGGAATCCACACCGAAGAGTTTCCCTTTGGTCAACAGACAAAAAACGAACTGGAGAATGGCCATAGAAATAGTGGATTTACCCATTAAAAATGGTGGTTTTCTATAGTTATGTTAGTTTAACCAGAGGGTTGGAGGTACAGTACTTGGTGGCTCATCCCACGAATCGTAAGTAGGTTATAACCCCAGTTGTAAGTGGATTAACCCTACTTATCCCACTTACAACCAGGGATATAACCTACTTACTAAGTCAAGTGGGATGAACCACCAAGTATAACTGAGAATTGAACCATGACATCTGGGAATAAATATGGGGAATTATGGGGAATATAATATTATATCATATTATATAAATAAGGTTATATAGATAAGATTTATCAGAGCTGTGGACAAATACGGGGAACCAACCATGACGCAGCTTAAAGGTACCAAGAATTGATGGCTTCCATTCTATGGGAAATCACTGGAGTCATCGAGTCAAGGAGTTTCCCACATGATTTGTTTACGGAAAAGACATGTGGATTTCATCATAGGAAAGTTCATCACTTTTCTTTGGGGATTTCATCATAGATAAATTGATATGTTATGTATACATATATATATATATATATACATATGACTAACCATTTAGGAACTAACAACATGTTTGATTTACCAAAGTAGTCTGCTGTAGATAAGCGGCTTAGTAACCCACGGTTTTCATCGGGCTTCTCCCTGCCTGGATGGAGGTTTTACGGGGGGATTGTCCAAGGCATGTTGGATTTTGGGAGGCTATGGCCATTTGTACCTCTAAACCATAGGAAAATGGAGGTTTTAATGGGAAAACCATAGGAAAACCATAGGAAAACCATGGGAAAATGGAGGTTTACCCTCTGGTAAACTTTCACAAAAAACGATGGAAAAAACTAACATAACTATGGAAAACCACAATTTTTCATGGGTAAATCAACTATTTCGACTGGACCATTTTCCATAGTTATGTGAAATTATCAGAGGGTAAAACAACTAACAATGATGCTTGGTTTACCATAAGTACTGTTGACTGGGTTAGGACTCAATGCTATTCTTGCTGTAAATGGAGGCTACTTGGGGTAAGCAACATGCTTTTACACGGCTGCGTGCAGAATGCAGAGTTTGGTATTGTGAATAGCACCAAGAATTCTTGGGATCAGAACGCGCACCAGATCCGAAACACGGGACAGGATATGGGTATGGATCAATACCTATTAATACCATTTTTAGTGGGATGAACATCCATTTACCAGCTATTTTGATGTTCACCAGGGGGATAGGGTTTTGACCCATTCCCATATGATTCATGGCTTTGAACTGGGGCAGATGGATCATATCAGGAATTGTATGGCACTTTATGGAGCTATTCCACCACGATATGTCCATGTCGTTTAATAAATGGCCGAATTTTTGATGGTTGTTACAGTGGAAATATCCACGAAATCGACCATTGAATATCCCTCATTGAGGTCGACCATTGTGATTGGGAATGGAAAATCCTATAGATTAGATTATGATTTAGGGCTACCCAATGGATTTTAGGAAACAAAGAAATTGAATAGCTTGCGATTATGAAAAGTATCCAGTCTACCGAACCATCCTGTTTTTCATGCTGCTCTTCTCACACTTTTCAAGTCCCAATTTTCTGTATTCCCTTTTTGCTTGTCTTGAGACAGTGGGATTCTGGCGAAACTTGACAAAACAACCATCATCGCTGCCGCAGCAATTGGAATCATAGTTATAATATGTTATAATAGTAATAATAATACTACTACTACTAATACTACTACTACTAATAATAATAATAATATATGTACGTAATACGTATATATATATACACACCCCATTTGGATCGTTTTTGCCCCCGTTGGACTTGGCAAAAACACGCCGTTGATGCGCGTTGATGCTGAGGTACCCAGGTACCCCCAAATCCAATGGTCTATTCAAATGGAGACTGTCTAAAGCATACCGAACAACATACCGAGTGAGATGTATCCATGACATAATTTCCCATGCTATTTCCTTCATATATCATATATATATCCTCATTCTATCCCCATGACATCTCTATTATTGTTGGGTTTGAGGTAAATTCACCCATTTCTTCCTCGACTTTTCGCAGGCAAAGGCCAAAGAGTTCTCCAGCCTTCTGCCGGGTTTCCCCAGCAAAGCCCAGGGCAGCCGGGGTTTTTGGGGGCCGTTGATCTACAGGGTGATGCAGGGCAACCTTTTTCAACGAATGTGACCTGGAATAAAAACATGTGGGTCTTTTAACTAGGGAGAGTTGATCAACAAATTTGGTGAAGATTGATCAACTGCAAAAAGAATGTGGGGACGCAAAGCAATGGCAAACTGCGAGTGGTACCAGCACAATTGGGAGATGCCCAGTCTGCATCGAGAAGCATCAGATCAATTCTTGCTGGAATTTTTGGGTGCCACAATTTTGAATGGACCCATTTGCAGAAGCTCGGGGTGAGGTGAGGTGATCAGTGGCAAGTCTGTGGTTTTTCAAAAGAACGACAATGATGCCACAGGGATTTGGTAGATGATCCATGTTCAAAGTCTATTTCAATGGGAATATTTTTGGCCATATTTTGGGATATATCCCCTTACATAGCCCTTACGTAGGCCTTATATATGGTAGGTACCTCCAATTTTTATCGGTTCCTGGAAGGGTCACCTTCGGTAATCAAACATGGCAATGGGAAAGGAGGCGGCCACCGGCCACGGGGGAAACCCCACGCAGCATGTTGCCGCGTTGCGCAGGTATCATCCCATAATCCCATTAAAACATATTAAAACCAATGACAAAATAATTCATCCCAAAAATCACCACTTACTAATACTTATAGTGACTTACAGAATCTCAAAGATATGATCCCTACAATCAGCAGCGACAAAATTTCCACGAGGTCCGGAAGCGACGCCAAGGACGATGGTGCACCCCTCGGGCAGTTTTTTGGGGACGTTTTTTTGGGTCGAAACTTGACAGTTTGCGATTGAAAATGGTGATTTATAGATGATTTACCTATTGAACATGGTGATTTTCCATAGTTATGTTAGTCTAATGTTGGTAAAGCAATAATGTTGGTAAGTCCCAGGTTTTGATGGTTGGAATCCTACCCATACAAATGGTAAAATCAGGGATGGTGGATCCTATTGCTAGCATTTGCTAGCTGCTAACATTACAGTACACCTTTTTTATTCATGGCAAAATAGTCTAAACATACAGAACGGGATACACTAACCAACTTAATCATGGGAAGCTTCTCTGTAGATTTCTGTATAGACATATTTTTTGTATCTGGTCATTTCACAGTTTGCGACCTGGAAAAATGCCATTGTGACACGTAAATAATATTAAATAATCTATAAGTAGGCCATTTGCCATAGCAAACTCTTAGACTACCAGAGGGTACACCATATTTGGGAATCTCTTTATTTACCCTCTGGTAATTTAACATAGCTATTGAAAATGACCATTTATAGCGGATTTTCCCATTAAAAATGGTGATTTTCCATAGCTATGTTAGTTTACCAGAGGGTATAGGCAAATCTTCTGTTCTATCCGAACTTCGGAAGTCCGATCCCTACATTTTTTGATGTGAAATTCTTGTTGGTCCCAATGGGCCTTGATCCGATTCCCTGATGACGATGTCAACCACCAAAAATAGCCATGGTAAGTCTGTGAAATCCCAGTTTCACAGTTTCCTCCTCCATGATTCCATGATTTCCATGAGATTTCCATGATTTTTTGACATCGCTTGGTTGAAGCCGTTGACGTTGCCTCAGGTGCAGCTGAGGCCGGGCCGGGGACTGGATTTTCGATCCGGGGATGGGATGAAGGTCCAGTTTTCAGGGCGTGCTTTGAAGGGTCCCATCTGCAACTCCCAGTCTCCATCTCAACTCTTGACTTCTTTTCGATCCTGAAGTTTTGGAAGTAACACTTCTGATCATATATAGTATTGTTGCTTAGTTCTATCCCCCTTAACCCCGAGCATAATCCAATGTTAGCCTCTGGTAAACGGGCTAACATCACCATGGAAAGATCCACCATGCTATGAATGGGACAACTCACTATTTCAATGGCCATGGCTTCAATAGCTAAACGTTTACCAGAGGGTAAACCTCCATTTTCCTATGGTTTTCCTATGGTTTTTCCATTAAAACCTCCATTTTCCTATGGTTTTCCTATGGTTTACCTAGGGCCGGGTAGTCATCTCAGCATCCAATGGTCTCCCATGGATTCCCCCAGGACGCTTCCGAGGCCGCTTCCGAGGACATCCGACGGGGGGGATCCTGGATGATCATTATATAACATATTTAAATTATATTATGGTATATAGATATATGTATAATATTATATGATAATGGGATTATATATAGATATAATGATATATTCATGTTGATGATCTGCTAATGGGATTATTATATACATAATGTGGGATATTATATGATAAATTTTGGTATATATATATGTATACCCAGATTCCGTATTTTTTTTGGGAATTTACCGAAGATGAATGGCTTCTTTTCCGGAGTTCCCCTCTCATGGAATCTCAGCGTCGAGCGGTTGGATGTGGCAAAGCCAAGAATCAGACCCGAAGACCCTTGGAAATTTAACATAACTATGGAAAATCACCATGCTATTAATGGGAAATCCACTATTTCTATGGTCATTTTCAATAGCTATGTTAAATTACCAGAGGGTAAATGTTGGGGGAAACAAACACATTTCATCTTCCGGGAAGTCTTTGCGGAGGTTTAAGGCGGGTTTACCACATTGGAAACTAAGGACTGATTTCCTGGCTCTTAAAATTTAAAGATGAGAATCAGTTCTTCTACGTTCGGTGAACATCAAATTTTCTGACAATGGATGTTCATTCCAAAGAAAATGTGGCATCATAGGGTCTTGACCCATCTCCAGTGGGGAAAATACGTTTTTGAACCTATCAGTGACAGGACAAGAAGGAAGAAGATGAGGAGGACCGCTATTCCGAATGCCTTCCCAGTCTGGGGGTCGAATCTCCGGGCGTCCCCGATCTGTTTTGAGCTCCCCAAAATGACGACTCAAGGTTTTCCGGATGTTCACAAGTGAATTTTCAAGTGAATTCAAGTGAATTCTTGCCATTTGTTTAAGGGGCCAATATATTTTTTGATGGCCAAGACGAATCACCCAAATTTGCTGGTCAAACATAATCTGGTTGGTGGTTTGGGACATTTTTTATTTTTCCATAATATAATGGGAATAATCATCCCAACTGACTTTCATATTTTTCAGAGGGGTAGGTATACCATCAATTAGATAATATAAGCCCTCGAAACCTTCGACCGGACGGGGGGGAAGGAATTTTTCAGGAACCCGAGTTGAACATGACAACCGTTTCGATGGTTGTATCATGTTTTGAAGTCATGTTTGATATCCATGTTTTTCTGTTTTTTTTTGGGATTTGTTGATTTTAAGGGCTTCAGCAGCTTCATGATTTGCATCGACTTTTGGGAAACCATTGTTTCGACCACCAAACAACTTGTAGCCTGCAAAAAACAAAAGGGGGCGCCTTGCAAATCGCGCACTGGTTTGTCAATGAGTTGTTGTACTATAGAATGCTGTAGAATGCTATAATATATATATATATAATTCTATATATTATTCTTTGGATTTGAGCCACATCTTCATGGAGAATCATCATATCCACCGTATGTTTTTTGTTCATCTCTTTGGCGTCCCCTATCAACAAGGAGTTGATGTCGTGGAGCTTTGGTGGGTCGAAATGACCGGAGGGCAGCTGATCAATTGGCTACTGGGGATATAGGCTATTTAGTGATGTTTAGAACCCATTGATAGCATTTTCTATCGTCTTTGGGCGACTATGTACATATGTATATTATACATGTATATATATATAATATTATATATGTCTATGTATATGTAGCATCCTGGACAAAGATTTTGCGATTTTTTGCTGATCAATAGTTGAGAAGGAAGATGCTGAGATGGAGAAGAAGAAGGAGGAAGAGGACGAAGATGAAGAAGAGGCAGGTTTGCGACAGGTCTGTTTGCATGTCCCATCAGTATCCCAGGACTGAAGTGGTTCTTCTATGTTTTTGCTTATAGAGTTTCCAATATAGATTTATGCATGAGAAAATGAACATCAGGTTTTTTTTTGACTGATTTTTCACCTGGGATTTTACAGATTTCATTCGATTTCCCATTCTTATCCCCATGATCGTCCCGTGGCCTGGTAATAGATTTCATGTTAGTAAAGCACTAATGGTTGCCAGCCATATTTTGATGGTTGAAATCCCACGCAACCGAAGAAATGGTCAATTTGGGCATGGCGAAAAAAAAATCTGTTGACTCCAAAGGCCACCTTGCACCTGCGAAAAAGCGAATTTCTTTGAAGTGGGAGTGGAGGGTTTCAGGCCGGTGAATATGATATATATATAATATATATATATTATATAATGGGGGTATCCCAAAATAGATGGTTTATAGCGGAAAATCCAAGTAAATTGGATGATAACTAGGGGTATCCCCATCTTAGGAAACCCCCATATATAATCATATATATATATACATGTATATTATATGATAACCTCTTGAAAGGTAGAACAGTATGGACATGTGAAAACATCCTCACTCAAATATGGGAACCTATTTAAACAATCCATTCCATCTACTTCAGGATGATAAAACCATGTAAAAAGCATATTTTGGTAGATATCTAAATATAGACGATTTATAACATTCTGCTAATCTGGTAATGATATGTACATATATATATATATATACATATATATATATATATGCACCAGGCCCTGCCACCCCCCCCTCCCCTCCCCGCATGGGATGGGTCCCATATTGAGATCTTCCCCCTCCCCCCTGTGGTGAGGTGGGGGTGTGGTACTGTCCCCCTCCCCCCCTGTGGTGTGGTGGGGGTGTGGTATGGTACGTTGGGTATGTATGGCGTGTATGGTCTGTCTGGTTTGGCATGTTTGGAAAGTATGGTATGTTTGGTATGTATGGTAGGTATGGTATGTATGGCATGAATGGTCGTATTGTATGGATGGTAGGTGTGGCAATTATGTTGCATATGTATGGTATATGTGGTATGTATGATAGGTATGATAGGTATGGTATGCATGGCATCATTGGGATGTATGGTAGGTACGGTATATGTTAAACACATGTAATGTTGTCAGAGTACACAGGTAGTAAATAGGAAGCGTAGCACATGTATATATGACTATGGGTAGCACGTAGGCGTCACGTGGGTACTTTGAGGGAGTGTGTGTGCTGCGTAGGTCGCCGAAAAGGTAGCATGTACCTAGTAAATGGAAGGCTGGTAGTCAGAAATGCTGCAAAGACCTAGCAAATACGAAGCTGGACATCAGAAATGCTGCCAATAGCTTGCAAATAGAAGGAAAGGGGGGGTGGTACCTGGGGACCCAACCCATGGGGGGGGGAAGGGGGGT